TTCGAAACAATTCAAAAGTATTATATTGCAATTTATACAAAATATTCAATCATTATCTGATAATTCGATGTATCAAAATACATTTTTTTTCGACAGACTAGAATACTTTATTGACTTTATTATGTTCTGCGACTAACAGCGAGTAGTGCACTCGATCCCATTGTTCTAGGACGTCTTTTTTTTGTTTTCAAAAGTAAACATTAGTTATTTTAGATAGAAGGTAAAAATGTTCGAATTTTCTTTATGATGGGACAGCTAACATGTGTGATAGTGTGGCGCATACATATAGTCAAACTGAATTACGTGAACTAGATTATATACTGGCATATGTACTCACATACTAAACATAATATTTAATAATCAATAAAGTTTTTAAAATTCAAATAATTCAGAAGTAATTTTTGATTTATATAAAAAAAATTGTTTGATATAGAAATGAATTGTTTATTAGGCAGGGATTTACCAAAATATGTTGACTATTTGGTAGGTTGGAATATTAAATATTTCACTACACCACCAATAATTGAAGCTAGTTTACGGGAGATAAACTAATACAATTTTACAAAAAAAAAAAAAAACTATGCAGTACTAATTATTATTTGTACTTAGTTAAATAAATTAAATAAATAGTGCAAATATGCAATTATTATTATTTTATTAGTAATAATTTGTCAATGCTGTATAATTTATATTATTTGGTTTGTATTTGACACGGTCAACAGGAGAGGGGGGCTAAAGCCCTTTAATCTTACCCCTGGGAATTTGTCTTTAATCTTCCCCGCCAATGTGTATATATCTAATTGATAATTATAAATATTTTTTGTTTTAATAATAAACAACAATGATATGTAGAGAATATAAAACGTTCAAATTTCAAACCAATTTATAAATAAAAAATATACATAAGGTAGGTACGTACCTCTCGACAATTTTCAAACTCACTTCCATCGCGTGTCCTAATATCTACATTATACCTATACTCTACAGTCTACACTATTTTGAAAGTTGCTATTATTATGTGCCAGTACCTTTTTCATCTACTACGATGATTAGTGATGACTCCATCATAATACGAGTATATATAATAATACCTAGGTACAATATAATATAAAACTGAGTTTAACAAGTTAAAATATAAAAAGGCACTTAAAACCAAATTGACTTACATAACACATCGTTAACTTGTAATTTTTTTTTATATTTATCGAAAATTAACCTTCGTTCCATCGCACACGTATAATAGGTACCTTTATACCTATAGTCTAGACTCTAGTTGTACTGTTATGGCTCTCGTATGTTAAGATGTTACAAGTTGTCTCACGCTACGGCAAAGTGTTGAAACCAACTATTTGTTTATTTTTAGATTAATAAACGTGTATATAATAGGTAGTACATAATTTCTAAAATGTTAAAAAATTTAACAATTTAGTTTTAAAAATACTCATAATATTTGAAAACTCTTAGTGCCTACGTAATTCATAATTTGCTCTGTTAACAGAACAATATCATGTCATATGATCATGCATGAGTTACGCCATCCATATACGGTCGTTAAAAATATGTAACTAACTGTACAATGTGTGCCACAATATGTGTAAATTTGATAAGTGTATAAATAATAGAAGTACAACTTAAAATAATAACGAATTAAACGTCCATCCTAGGTAGGTAGTAATATTTTTATGGAAACCATACGATTGGTGCAAATGAGAGGATTTTGGGAGTTTATCCCTCTAAACTCAGTTAAGCCCCCCCCCAAAAAAATCAATTTCTTAACAAATAAAACAGAGTGTACATAGTCAATATTATAATATTACATACATGGGAGCTTAAACTTCCTCCCAAATATTTGGGCCATTTGTGCCTATGGAATAATTATTCATTACACCTATTATATGTCAGTACCTATAATTTATTATAATTTTGACCAATAAGAGGGAATCACTAATAATAATTTATTAGGTATCTTTTTGTTTTATTAGTAATAAATAATTTGTTTACAACAAACTAATATTTCTTTGATTATTTTGTGTTAGGCGATATGCACTTTCTAGATGTTCATTAAAATAATATTTAAAATGTTCATAGTTTTTTTTTTGTGTGTGTGTGAATGACAATACATTTTGTAATTCATTTTTATCAATATTTGATGTTAAAATTCATTCTAAACATAAACAATACAAATGTAATTTATTTTGTAGTTGTAAATAAATGTAACGTTTTAAATTAAAATGTATCTTATGTGGCTATATTTATATCATACCTTACAACCCAATCTTCAAACTCAGACATCTAACAGGGACTACGGTCCAGGATAGATAATAGGCCCACCGGCCACACAGCACAGCACACCATGTGGCCATGTATATCTTACATTTCCAACTTACAATAGTGGCTCACAACGAATGCACATTATTATACATATCATTATATTCACATTCCTACTCCTAAACATATTGCATAAATAATATGCATATTTAATATGGTCAATCTTAATATTGCATATTATGTATTATTTTACGTGGACTTTAATAGTATTACAATGATATTAAAATGCCTACAATCGTATAGTTATTGTTAATTAACATTTCAACAAATCATAATATCAGGTCCATAATGAGGTTGTGGTTCCTACCTATTTATATACGTAGATACGCAGACATAAATGTATAATTTCAAATTTGGATAGTGTGTTTAAATATATTTTTATGCCAGTACAGTATACAAATTACTTAACACTAACAACATATTTAGGCATTTACTACAGACATAGGTATTTTTTATAATGTGCTAAACAGTATACATTTTTATTAGATAATTTTTACTTATTTTTATCTATTCTATACATATTATCTATGTATGTATAATATATAGGTGCTGAAACAAAAAACAGTTTGGTGAAAATCTGTTTCACACAAAAATAAATCATAAAATCTATTACAAATTCGAATACGAAATTGATCTTACATATTTGGTGTATAATTATTAGCTATAATGGTCATCGCTATATACGGGTAGGTACTATACTTATTTGGAATTTTTATTTTTTGTATTATATTATTAAATACAACATGAGTTCTGTTACAACGTTGCCCTAAAAATGAAGTTTAAACTGGTACTAAATTAATATAAACAATAGTAATATAGCTGAAAAGTAGGTATATACCTATGAACCCTACATAATATTACTGTAACTGTGACTCTTTACTATAGAAACGTTTTCTTTTGATAATTTGTCGGATCCTTGTGTGATGCCCGTGTTTAAGATGCAGCACACAAACACTTCTTTTTATTATCACATACTTAAATTTACTGACTGTAAAACCGTGGATAGTAATATTATAAGTATATTTAAATAAATATATAGTATTTGGTAAGTACACTCATCTAGGTAAAATCTATATAACTATCACATTATATATTCTTGTTTTTAAAAGAGTTTAAATTTTAACTGATGCCGTATATTGAGGATACTTTACACCAAGGGAGTCAACATCGCACCAAAATAATTTTTTATCATCATTTCGTATAACTCTGGAACTAATTAAAATATGAAACGATTTTAAAAAATAAGTTAAAATGTGGTTATTATAATACAAATTATAAACATAACTTACATAACCCTAGATAATTAAATGATTTATTTAAAAATTATTATTTCTTATTCGTTGATATTCGACATTGCCATAAACTGTTTAAACTCACAAATGGAGGATATAAAAAAAATCAAAAATAAAACAGCCGAACATAGTAATATTTTCGGCTTAAACACTGGCCAAAATAATTTTTTTTTATTAAACACTGTTCGGCAAATTTGGCTGAAATTCGGTTAATCCGATTTATTTGTGCCATTTTTACGCGCTTCCACTTACAAAAATATGTAGATTGTGTTAATTTCAGAGAGGCCAGATGGGAAGTTTAACTTAAATTAATACCTACCTAAAAATTTGTTTATTAATAGGCACAATATTTTTTATTGGTTCTATTTTATTATATACCTAATATTATAATACACAATAAAAACACTGTAGTCTATATTTATATTGAAATGTTATAAAATGTATAATTTAATTTTCAGTGGAAAAATTTTAAAACGTTTTTCGTTAAAATTTAAATGAACACATGCCTACTGAAACCCAGAACAATATTTTTTTGTACCATTTTTCACGTTTCAAACATTTGTATGGCTGTGCTACCGTTATTAAATTTTAAAATTATTACATTATACAGTTATTAAACATTTTTACTACCACAAAATGTGAAAGAAAAAAAAATACAACAATCGTTTTCATTTTCCTTGTAGTTTTTTTAACAATTGGGGAATACCGGAAAAACCTAAATTTAAACATAATGTAGTAATTTTTTTAAGCATTTAAATTTAAAATTTCTATGAAAAATTGTAAAAATTACATTTAAAATATGTTTAATTAAACTTCGTTCAGAATCGTATTTCATCAACAATTGTTTATCATTGCGGACAGATATAATTTAAATAACTTTATGCATCCTTCTTTCTTTACCTATCATACCTTTATGTATAATTTTCACCTACAACAGTAGTATAATCTTAAGCAGTATCGGCTCTTTTTAGATTTTGGTTTTACTGTGACGAATACGTTTCTTTTTCTTACGTCTGTGAAAATTTTTTCTATCAGAATACTTGATCTGATTTTCAAATATACAATCTTTTTTGAGAGAAAATTTTATCTAGTTGTTGCTATGGGAAGGTCAATTTTTGATTCTCTTTGTAGTTTTGTTATTTGTACAATAATATTTATTATTTATTCATCAAAATTTTTTTTTTTTTTTCGACAAATTTAACCTATATTTTATTTAGCATAGCGAAATAATTTCAATAATTCATTGTACTCATTAAATGAGTACTTACGCTTTATAATATACTTATAGAAATATTGTATATGTATATAATTTGTTTGTATTATCATATAATATTTTGAATCTGGTTTATAGATACTATAAATAGAATAAAATAATACACGTTTATGTATTTATTTATAATAGGTACATTTCTTTATTCAACATTTTTACAAATTTTAAAGTTTGGATCATTACATGCAATTATTAAGAACTTATTTGATGAGTTGCGGTTGTTGTTGTTCCTGTTTAGCTAGTGCAACTTGTTGAGCTACTGCTCTTTGTATAGATGGATGGATTCCAGGTCCCGAAGGCTGATATCCATTTTCATCAGCTATGTAACTAACTTCAATAGGGATACCTAAAACAATTTAAATTATGTTAGTATTCAATTATTATAAATATATGCCGTGTAGGTATGGTAAAATTCAAATAAATTATAACTTATTTCAGGATAAATAATACGAATTAATATTTTCCCTTTCTATAAGTAGTTTGATCATATTTGTTTAGAGCTATTACTGTATTTTCTAAAAAATGTATAACTTACCTTCAGGAGTTATTGCAGAATAAGCTCCTTGAACGGACATTACTGGTGGGAATCCTGGTGCACTTGGGTACTTCAAACCACCTGATTCTTGTCTTTGTGTTCCGTCAGCAGACTGGAAACTAAAAACATTTGTATAATATACATTAGTTATTATTTTAGGTACTTAATATACGTTTTTATCAACCCCTATGCTTACCTGAAAGTGTAACTTCCTTCTGGAGTGATTTCAAAATTTTGATTTAAAATTGGTACAAACTGGCCGACGTACGGGTTTGGTCCGTTGACGAATCTCTGAGGAACATTAGGTCCGCCAATGAATTGTGGTCCACCAATAAATTGTTGAGGAATTGGTCTATAAGGATTGTAATACGGCAATGCTGATGGTAACGTCGGTGGTAATGGAGTCGATGAAACTGTAGGTAAAGGCGAAACCACTACTGTAGGTTGAAGTGTTTGAGAAAAACATCCCACAATGAACAAAATAACCAGAAATCCAAAATGAATTACCTGAATACACAACAAATAAACAAATAACACATAATATATTTTTTTAAATTGAATTAAAATCTAAAATCTAAAATTTAACTCACTACTTTATTGGCAAACATGTTGAACATGAAAATATGATTGTCTAGCTGTGTCGGTATTTAGTATAGGTAGGTACCTGATATCTGATAGATATAAAAGATGGATCAATACTGAATTTTTGATGGACGAAACAGTTGTTTATAAATGTTTTACTCGCATGACAATCTCCCAAATCTTCCATTTCGCCTACTCTTGAGGATTTCTATATAAAACATATAACCCTCACTATATTGTTATTTTATTTAGTAACAAAAAAAAAAAAAAAAAACCCATTATATAGGTACCGCAGAACTCTAGATATATTAATTGCTGCAAAACTGTGGGAAGATGTGAAAGGGGTAATTTACAAAACGAATAAGTTAAATCGATAAAACATAAACACGCACATTATAATGTCGGACTATATAATATATGTTTAATATAGTTAGGTTTACTTACCTACTTATATTATTTCTTCTACTACACGTTTATGGATTTGACTTGTGGGCATGTTACAAAAGGTCGCTATGATGCCATAATATTAACCATAATAATATTACATATTTTTGAATTGCATAACCAAAAAGCAACTGCAGATTTTATAAATTATATTTTCGTTTTGATTATTTTTTTTAAATTCGTGCAAATAAAAAATATGTTATGAATATAACATATATAACGAACATATAAAACACCTATATGTAAATTCTTTGTGAAATCCAATAATAATAGTATAGTTTTAAAGCTGTGTTGGTTAAATCTTAAATATGATATAAAATATAGTAATCACGCATATATACCATACCTACACCTACTAAAATATACACATCATTTTTATTTTTCATTAGGTATCCATAAATTGTAAGATACTTTAAGTTTCAATTTGTAATTTATATTTTTATTCAAACTACCTATTATACAGGATGTAACAAAAAGATCTAACACCTGAAATAATTTTTATTCTGTTAAATATTTTTAAGTTTTATTTTTCATAAAATATGTTAAATATGATTCCTCTATTTTATATTTTCATAAAAATTAAAAACAAAATTTTAATTTAAATAAATATGTTTACATAAAATCTAAGATAGTCAATAGTAGATAATGTAATTTACTATAATTATATTAAATTTTAATCATACAGTAATTAATTGAAGGATTCATTTTTATGATATTTATGCATATTATGAACTGTACGGTAGTATTTTAGGTTGAATATTTTAAAATGCACCTGCCATCTGAGTTTTTACTATAGACGAGCCACAAAGGTCCACAGATGTAAGAAAAACATTTTAGTTTTAGATTCAGAGCGTAGCATGGAATCTATTAGTTTTACTATTGTGTGTAATTTTTATATATATATATATGTATATATATATATATGTATATATATATATATGCATATTTACTGTGTAACTTTCGATAAGACATTTATTATCAGGAAAAGTATTCTGATTTTTAAACCACTTATGGAAACAAATATCTCTAAAATATTACATTAGCGTTATTTTTTGTTATTCTTATTTTTCAGGGTAAAACCACTACTCGCTTGATTTTTGAAGAGCAACCTAAATTAAAATCCCATAAATATATGACGTTTTAGTTCAAATAAATTTTGGTGTTAACATTTTTAATTTCCGTCAACGCCCTATACATATCAAATTCAAATACATGTATATGTGCACTACAGAAAGTCAGAAAAAATAGCCATCGCGTACCTAAATGTAAAAAAAATTTCAATTGTAATTTCTTTATCTTATTTTTATTTCAGCTATTTCTACTATATAACAATGTAATGAAATAAAGTATCAGACTTGAACTTTTAAATTATAATTTCGAAAACAATTCTTTATTATAAATACTAAATAGGTAGGTCGATACCTATTTAAAGCTTGGAATTAATAGTTTAGATCCTGAGTAAAACGAGCAATGTACCTATTGGTTTTATTAAGTATAATGGTTTCCTATTTATCTGTGAACAACTTTCTTACCAGAAAGCATGTTCCTTCCGATAATCAGTTTTGGAAGTAGTTTATTATAGAAAATTTTGTTTTTTTAATGCATTGAGGAGATAATTATTTTTATTTTTCTAATAATTAAATATTTTAAAAAATGTTGAGCTATGTATAAGCATTTGAAATTGTTTAGTTTTATTTGGTTTTATGTGAATAAAATTATTTTGGCCAAACGGAAACGCGTGAAAATTTAACATGAGATTCATTAAACGTTTTACTTAGTGTGTTAGTTGTAAAAAAACACATGATCAATAGAGCTCCGTCATTAGAGTCGAATTTTCTCCTCTCCCCCCTCCCCTCAACTGATTTGTTTCACTTTATTATATGTATTTTTTTAAGTATATAATATATAATAATTATATATGTACTGATAAAGAATTGAACAAAAAATGTTTATCAAAATAGGTAAAGTTCTTGAAGTTTTTGCTAACATATAAACAGACGGCTAGAGGTTGGAATTTCAAATATTCTAAAGACACATCCTGGACAATAATTATATTTATATGTATACATTTTAATCAAGTTACTTACTTTCACGAGTCTGTACGTGTATATTTAAAACCCGCTATTTCCTATGAAAACATGAAAATTGAGCAAAAAATTGATTAAGTAGTAGGTAGTTTGTAAGTTGAAACAACCAAACGGTATATTCTTGATACTTAAACTATATATACACAAAATGTCATCTTTAGGTGTGTACAAACTAAAAAAAACACCCTCCTATCGCAAAATTATTGAGTTCAATCTGAAATTCAACCAAAATTGTATTGTTTAGATTCACCTATAAAAAACCTCGAATTCCCAAATTCTCGAGTTTGAGTTAATATGGTCCAAAGGGAACCGATACAAATATACAAGTGTCCAAATATATCAGGAAAAAAATACATATAAATAACAGACACGTCATAGTGTAAATGTGCAATAGTCTTTTTCGGTATTCATTTTTTGGAAAAATTATCAATAAATAGATGAGTTTTTTTTATATGAGTTTTAAGTTCAAATTTTAATGAAAACTATAATATTCCGAGGTTTTTTAAAAAAAAATTAACATAACTTATTTCAGAATCATTTTTGTGAATAATCTTATCTTTATGTAGAGTGTAAACGTGTATATACAAATATAAATACAATTATTGTTATAATTATGTTGATAATACCGTTTATTTTCCCATCATGTACAACTGCAATGGAACATAAATCAGCTCTTTTTTTTATAAATTGTATCCAATATCTAACCAATGCGTATATACTTTAGTTACATAAGTTTAACACGAATATTATAGCCATTGAATATTTCTAAATTCTAGAATAAAGTATATATCTAAAACATTTAACTAGTTAAGTAATTTTACACACTGTAACTCGTAAATAGTAGGCAGGTACTAATCTACTAGGTAAAGATACTAAGTGATGTCGTTTGTATATTATCCTATAGAACTATATAGATATATTATATAGGTATAGGTAAGTACCTATACATAATACATAAGTAGGTGTATAATTTAGACAAAGTTAGGCTCGTGCTTGCGAGTATAATTATTACAGTTTGCCGTACAATATTATACAATGCCCATGAAGACCATACAGTATTCTGAAACATAATATTATACAACCACATTAAAAGATGACATGATTTTTGTTTTTGTCTGTACCTTAGTTGAAACACATTAAGGTTAACTACTAAGTTTGGAGTTGCCTACATCCTAATAACAATAATTATAATGTTACATTGGCTAAAAATTTATGAGTGGTTATTTACCTTTATTATTTTTAGCAGTTAAGTATATCGAATTAACATTTAACTTTAAAAACGTTTTAATTATTGTAATGTGCGGACATTAAGATGCCTTCACCAATAAATTATAAATTATTACTTTGTAGGTAGGTAAATATCAAATTATCATTAAGTAGGCAATTCGTAATGTATGATTTAAGTAAGAAAATTGTTCTGTGGTAAAATGAAATAAACATTTTTAATATATTTTGTATTGCAATAATTAAGTCGAAAATATTATAATATGAATTTTAATAACTATGTATAGACTATAGTTTATAATATAATAAAGATCCATTAAATATGCAGATTATTTAAGTTAGGCATACCTAGTGCCTATCTACCGCTATAATCAACTAAATTCTAGGCAAATTTTATTTGGTTTACAGAAAATCTTAAACTTTTTTCAAGCATTAATTTAAAAAAGCTGTCCTAGGATAATGGAGATGGGTGCAGCCACTATTATAGGTAGTTTAATATATATATATATGTAAGCTACGATAAATCATTGCTAATAAAAAAACGATTCTGAGCGGAATTCAATTGATAGTGATTAGTGATGTTTTGTCAATAATATATATGTCACATTATGGTAAAATAATTAAATAGGTATTATATATTTTCTTTAACAATATTTGTTTAATCTACAGTATTTCCTATGTTTTTCTCAGTTTTCCCATGTTTATTTTTTTTTTGGGGTTTTCTCCTGTTTTTTCACATTTGTTGATAAAAATCATAGGAAAATCAAAAAATGATCTTAATGTACCTTCTTAGTCAGATTTCCTTTTAGAAAAAGCGCTATCATTATAAATCGGAGCAAAATTTCTGGTAGAAAAGTTGTCCACAGAAAAAAAAATCATAATATTTTACTAATATATTTCGTACTTATTCCCGTTTTTTTCCGGGTTTTTTACTGTTATTTACATTTGATGAAAAAACTCTTGTGAAAACTGAAAAGTCATCCACCAAAGTAACACCTCCCAAATAAAATTTACTTTCAGAAAAAGATCTACATAGTATATATCAGGAATATAGGAATATTAGGAAAAATGTTCATATAAAAAAAAATGCATAATAAAAAAAAAATTACGACATTATGAATAACAGGAAAATAAAAATAAATGCACTGTAAATAACATATTGAAGGTTATCAGCTTTCTGATAGAAAAGTTGCGCACAAATAACGAAAAAAAAACTTTGTAAAACCATAAGCTTCTCCGTTCCATTCGGAATCCAATACATACTGTGCATTGGCACAGTATGTAAAATTTGAAAGACGCTAAGGAGGTTAATTATGACACTGACTTTTATAGATTAGGTTAATTACCTATATAAATAGAAGGAGTTTATGAAGACAAATTCAATAAAGCTATAATAAAAAAAAGCTGTCCTAGGTTAGGTTAGTCACAAAAGTGTCAAAGTGTTCTAGTGTTACAAATAAAATTTAAATCGAAATTTTTAAATCCAACAAAGGCGGTAAAAAAATAAGTTTAAAGGATACACATACATAACAAAGTACCTACAAAGGTAAAAATTATTTAACATGAAAATGTTCAACAACAAATCCTGGAAACTTATCAATTATTATATTTAAAATTTTAAAATGATTGTTCTTTTTTCTTTGATCATTCAAAGGGGATTCGTTTAAACAATGTCTTTTTTCATGAAGGTAACAAATTAATTTTACTATTTAAGATTTGTTTAATCATTTATTGTTGTCTAATTATTTTACACTTATGATGATGATGATCCATTGAATAATTTCATGTTATTTGTAGTTCCATAGTAAGTATGCACACAGTATGAATCACACTACAAAAAACAATGTTACGCGTTGGTATATTTCGAATTTGTATACAAATTATATTAGTTAAAAGGCCTAGTGTTTTAACAGACCCAGGAACCTTTCTCATTTAACTACACCACTATTTGTTAAACCAACAATCTATATCAATCAGTAAAAAGAGTTGATGATAGGGCTAATGTACTTTGAACCAAAGGGTTACGCAGATATAGTTTTATGAATAAACAATATCAAAGAATAAAAATTACTAATTACACTATAAGCAGCAACAGAATTTTATTATAGTCGAGTTTTAAAAAAGGTATAGATAATATATAATGATAAATTTACTTAGGGGATGTTTTTTGAATCCATTTTACCTACTCAAAATGACATATAATAACTTCACGTCTTATCAGTTATCACTAGATAGCAATCTAGTTAATCTGTGTTTATAGGTCTATGATAATATTAGACTGAAAGCGTAATTTCTATACCTATATATTTTTAAATTGTAATATTTTAATACTAAATATTACTAAAGGTATTTAATTGTATTATTGTTGTCTGGAGCCTTTTTTACTTCGTATGAAGTAAAATATTTAGATTTTTCAAATCCTAGGGATATTGAGGAAAAATCAAAACTTTTCATAGACAAAATCGAAATATTTGACCGTCTACATCTGCTTACACAAGTAGTCGGAATACCGCCTCTATATTACTCTATGGCCTTAAAAGATAATACGTACTAAGGACCGTGGTCTATGGCCAGCTGTATTGGGGACGCGTATGAATCGGGAAAATGTTGGTCAGGAAACATTAAACACAGGAAATTACTTCTTAGGAATGATTACGTAATAATTCAGAAATCATTCATTGGTTTTTAAAATATATTTATTACTTCGTCAAGTAGACGTTTTCAAATTACATTCTCCCCGTTTTACCTACCTATTCGACGTGATTTTGAACATATATATATTAACTAGTTAACTTAGTACAGAGTTTAAGGTTAAGTTAGATTAACTACAGAGTTTTGTACATCAAATCAGGATTTATTTTCGATTGAAAATCCAATATGAGTTCACATTCAAGTTGGTGACCTGTCCTTCCCGTCTACATTTCCAACACGCGCTAAACTGGGAACTATTGGATATAATTTTAGAAACTTAAGTTTCTACTAAATTTCACTACTTTAAATTCTGGGTTTTACTTTTGTAAATTTTACGTTCCATTGTTTTACTTTCCGATCACGACTTAAGAGTACATCTTAAATCATATTTTCGATTACTTTTTACATCTAGAGGTTGTGCTCATGGTGTTGAGAAATTTTGTTTCATTTTCAAAAAAAAACTACCTACCTATAGCAGAACAAAAAATCCTAAAGTAGAATAAAATTTCCCAACTGGGACTATTTATTTATTTATTTGTCCTATTTCGTGGATAATTTGATTTTTTCAACTTTGCCTTAGGCTTACAAATTTGCACCAAGGGTGTACTTTAAGAGGGAAGAGGAGGTTCAGGAGATTTCAACACAGCCACAACTGATATTTTAAATTTATAATGTGATGTAATTTTCTAGTCAAAAACAAAATTGTACCTCCTCTTTAGGATATTTTGTTTTACTATTATATTTTTCAAAGGAACATAATGTCATCTTTAATTTTTGTAAAGAATATTAAAAAGGGTTAAAGTATTACTAAAGTGTACCAAAAGACCGCAAAATGAAACAAAATATCCTAAATGGGAACAAATTGTTTGTGGAACAAAATGACACATTACCACTGTAAAGGAACGAGTAAAGTATCCGAAAATATATTTTTAGATATATATATATGACCAGAACCATATCATATCCGAAAAATATATCGTCTCAATGTATTTTACTCGAAAATATTTTATCCGAAAAATAATTTAGATGAAAATATATTGTCCAAAAAATATTCCATCAGAAAAATATTCGTAACCTATCTTATCATAAAAACAAACACTGTAATTTTGCCACAAAATAACCTTAGAACTAATATAAATAAGTGTGTCATGTATTCATGTCCACATTTTATCTTCTTTGATGATGTCCACGATGGACATTGTCTAACTTTGCAAGTATTATATTATACAAACAATACGTACAATTTTAATATTATATTATTATAAATTATGTATAATATTATTTCCATATAATATAATTATAATGTTACGATCATAAAAGAACTTACGAGTCACCACAAGAGGGAGTTTTCGGCTAACTGAATAGTGTATACCATAGAGTAGAGAGCCTATATAATATACTGTCTACCATAGGGTAATAGACATACTCTATGGTCCATATATTTTCTGTAGGCATTACCATAAAATGTACTTGATAGTTAATATTACACTATATTTACTTTAATCTATAACGACATCACATACCTATTTATCTTTTAGTTCTAAGGTTATTCTGTGGTATAAATACAGTCTATGTTTTTGTGGTAAGATAACGAATATTTTCTGCTAAAATACAATTCGGATAAAATACATTCGACTAATTTATTTTTCGGATAAAATACGTTTCGGCTTAAATATTCTCTGGTCCTTTATTTTCGTATTTATTATTTTTCCGATAAAATATGTTTCTATTGAAATATTTATTTATTTAAATATTTAATAATAATAATAATAAATACTTTTTGGATACTATATTTTCGGCAAAATATCTTTAATTGTGATTTTTGGACATTGTATAACTGCTCGTATGTAACTACTGTATTCCTAATATGCAATATTCATAATACGCTTATTAATGATAAATATTCAATAAATACAATGCAACTGTCGCAAAAACAACAATACTGATAAATATTTATTGATAAGCTGATGTCTCTATTTTCTTTTATCTTTTTTTGATTTCTTATTAAATTTTATTTTTCACATTTTAATCAACCAAATTATCATGGTTCTTTGTTAAAATTATTTTTAATCACGTTTGAACACTTGTAAATAATGTTTTCTTTTATATAATTACAAAAACAAATTTAATTTAATATTATTTAGTGTAGCTAATTTGTTACTAAAATAATTATATCTACTCGTTGTTGCTTTTAAATTGGTATATAAGCGGCCTAATTTTGAATTGAAAATTATCCTGATAGGAAAAAAAAAAATGAATAATAATAGTTGTTTAAAGAAAAAAGATATAATTGTGATATTTATTAATTTAATGGTGCTATTCATAGTCATTTATTTATACTATATTATTGATAGTTTAAAAACTATACTTTCAAATGCAAATGTTCTAAAAAAATCTTCAAAATCTGATCTTACTGAAGATTATACCAATAATTTTGATGATTTTAAAACGACAAATCAAAATGTGAACATTAGACATACTAGATCAACCAATTCCGTTAAATGTAATTTTGTATATTTGTATTTATATGTAAGCTTTAGTATTTTTTTTAATATTATTTAATTTTTTTTTTTTAGCTCACAAATTGTCCTCATTTTCATTGGCACAACCAAATATTGATTTTGAACAAAATGGTAGTTTAAACAAAAGCATTTACTCCAATAGATTAACTTGTAATTTACCATATTTACACTGGTATATTTCAATGTGTGTATCATGATACATTTTTTTTTGGACTACCAATGTAATTTATAGTTTTAATATACCGTTTGAATATAACTAATGCAACAAGTGAATCAAATATTTATTTAAATTCAAATAGCCTCAGTGTAAACATGGTAGCAGGTACATTTTATATACTGATTATGAATTTATGAACAGGCATTTTGGGACCCTGGATTTTGTCAAACAAAAGTTTATCAAATGACAAATGCCCTATAAAATTAACATCAAGAAGAACTCTATTAGAGATTGTTGATGAAGGACTTTATTTTGTTTACATACAGGTAATATTATGTTATATTTCTAATATACTTTAAATTTTAAGAACCTACCAGTAAAATATGTTATCTGTATTAACTACTTAGTTAGGTGTTTTTTTAATTACTTTATCTTTTTTGATTTAATTAATTTGTATACTTTTATAACTGTAACAAGTGATATTCAAGTGAATATCAAATTATATAATGTGTATTGAGTTTTGGTTGTATTGGATATTAAACACTTAGTTAGGTGTGTGCTATATTATTTTAATATTTATAAAACAAAAATTTGATTAATATTACGACTGAGTCATCAAATCCTATCATAAAGTTTTACTTATTAGGTATATTATTTATCATCTTCTGTAAGAAACAGTTTTACCATGACAAAAATAACAGCTGATATAAATGAAACACTATCTGTATGCAGTGCTATGGGTGCTTGTGGAACAGAAATTTCTTGTTTCACGTCTATTGTGGAATATTTCAAGACTGGAGAATCAATTTTAATTAGGCTCAGAGAAATGTCTTCTTCTATAAGTCTTAGTCGTAAAGCTTCTCACACTTATCTAGGCTTTATTAAGTTATCATAATTATTTAATCCTCAATAATGATATTGTGATAAAAAAATGCAATTTCATTGCATATATATTATGGTTTTTATTTTATTTTACTATTAACTTAAGAAACCAATATTAATAAAATATGTTATTAAAATCCTAATATTTTGTTATTTTTAAGTTTGTATTATTAATGTTAATTATATTTTTTGTATTTTGATTATATATTTGTATACATTAATTTACCTAAGTATAATATATTAATTTAATTTTTAAAGATTGTTGAGAAAAATTAATATAAGAGAAAACCCTATCAAGTTTTTTAGGATTATATAATAATATTGAAGACAACAATCAAGTAACTAGTTTTGTTTTAATATATATTTATGAATATGCTATATTTATTTAAGAAATATTATATAATTATGACTACTGTATTATAACTTGCTTATAATAATAAAACAAGATAGAATTTGGTAACTCTGAGACAGATTAGCACCGTCTAAGTTACTGTAATCGTAAGCTTAGGTATTTTTATATTATGGGTGTTCAATTAAAAAAAACAAAGTGACATTTTCTGTATAATGTATACCATATAACATTATACCAAATATTATCTTTTAAAATACCATAGATTTTATAGTTTTTAATGATTAAATAGAAATGTACACAGTGAAACTTCTATATACACCCCAGACATATTGATATGAAATATGACAAACATATCACTAAATAATAGAAACTGGTTAACTGTAACATTTAAAATATCTCAATAGTAGACAAATTACACTCACAAGTAGCAGTGGAATGAAAGTCATCAGAATACCGGTAGAATTCTTAGTATGCCGTTTATGGGCAATTATTGTTTTTGTTTAATAATAATGAAAAAAAAAGATTATCCAAGATGTGGGTGAGTTTTTTAGTAAATTTTAATTTTGGAGCCAATCCGCTGTTGCTCATAATATCTATTAATAAAATGTATAGAGGTTTCACTGAATACAAAGTGTGTTTCAATTTCTTTTACAGTAAGTTACTTCGTGTCTTTTATTAGAACACCCACAATATATTATGTTTAAGGCAAAGTTTCCACTTTTTTTTTTAGTTAATTTCAGTTAATATAATAATCAAATGATACGAATGATTTTTCTATTAATCTTCATCCTGTAAAAAGTTGATCATGCACTCATGACATTCCATTTGTAATGGATGATCTTGCATAAGTTGTAACATACGTCTTGAAAAGTATCTACACAATGGAGCTTTGCTGCAAAGTTCATGAGAACCTTGTATGAATTTGTTTACACAATCAGGATTTTCAGGTTCCTAATATTTATATAAAAATTATCAATTAGTTTAAAATGTAAAATTCAATTTAAATACTTTACTTACACAAGTATTGCAAACACGGTAAAGTGTGCAAATGGGCAACATTAATTCTCCAGCAGATCCACCTAATTCAAGACAGTCTTGAGTTATTTGTAGAAGTTGAGTACACTTATGTTCACCTAATACATATTATGTATAAAACATAAATTTTTTTTATTATCATAAAAATCTAAAATTTGATTACCTCTTGTGTGTGGTTCTTCTGTCACCAAAGAATTCATAGGCTGACTATTGTTTTCTGCTACAGGTACATTAAAATCAAATTTGTCATATTGATTTTCTAAAAAATCACAATAATAAAATCTATTAAAATTTTTTTCTTTATTTGAAAAAATATAATTTGGATACAAAAAAAATCTTAAAAAAAATTATCCAGTATTCTCAGATTTTACTACTTTTTTCTCTTCTTCTTTTTCACTTTCATTCCAGTTATTTGGATTGGTCCCCTCATCCTAAACTTCCACTTGACTCTATCTCCCATCTCGCATATTGGTACTTCCCTCATTTCATTTTCAATCGAATCCAACCATGTCTTTTTTGATCTTCGTCACCTTTCATTCCACCTAAACTTATTGCATTACAATGAAAACCATATCAGTCTATTTGAATGCTACCTCTTATGTATTTGTTACTTATTCTATCTGTTCTCGTCACTCATCCACTAAAGAAATCAAACATTATAGTTTATAGATTGTACGTAAATCCAAATATATAAATTTAAATAACAATTATATTGTCTTATAAGAATATATTTCTGAATAGATGCAATTTTATTTATTTTAACTATGTAATATGAATTTCACTATAAATTTAAATAGATTTATTTAAATATGGTTTATTAAATGAGTTTAAATAGAAATTTTGTAAAAAGTATATTTTTTTTTCTACTCTGTACCTAGTGAAATAATGTTAATAAATAGCATTATAAAAAATGTTGAAATTTTTAAAATTTTAATGGAACTATTGGAACATATTAAGTAATTACTAAATTTAGATGATCCAAGTTATTTTAGCTTGTTTTTAAATTCTAAGTGATGCAGAGGATATATTGATTTTATTATGATGTGTGATTATTTTTTGTATCAGTCTTTCCTACCAAAAATCAAAAACTTAACAGGAACTTTTTTATAGTATTTTTTATCTAATTGCTGCATTAAAATAATTTTTTTTTATTTTACTTGTAGTTTTCTTGATAAATAGAAAAACCAATTTTTTGTTAATTCTAGATTACCTTGAAAAAAAGGTTAAAAATACAACCAATATTACTTTATTCAAAATCATTTTTCATTAGCAATGGTTTATTTTATGGTGCAGATATAAATTAAATTATTTCGTACATCCTATCTTCCAATTCCTAAAACTGTGGCACCTCATCAGCAATATGAGCTTTTATTAAAATTTAGATTTCAGGTTCATACCTACTATTATATTAGATGCCTATGAATAAGTAAAAAATTACCTTTCATTTCGTTATTTTCTTGTCTAAGTTTTTCAATGTTATAGGCTTGATTCAAGTTGGCAAGTACTTGATTTTTCACATTATCTATTTCTTCTGGGTCATTAGTACCTTGATTAGCACCTGTATATTTCAAGGCATTGTCGATTAATTTGTCTTCTAACCACACTAGTTTATCATCTTTTAAGTTTTTATTGACTTCGTTGGCATCGTTTTCTAGTTCATTTTCTTTTCCATAAGTATGCATGTATTGATTTAAAATGGTATCATCAGACGGTATGTTCTCGATAGATTTTTTTCTGAAAATTAAAACATAGGAAATATTATATACATTATAATAACTTATTTATGTTTTAAAAAATCAAGGGAATAAGGGAAGTAATTTTGAACTGAAGAATACTAGCAGATAGAATTTAGTAAGGATTATTATTGCATTTATAAACTTATAAAAGACAATTAATACAGTTTCATAGAGAGTTTTTTCAAACACTGGAAAGAATAGACATCGATTTTAGAGATAAACAGATACTTTGTAATTGTTAGGTAGGGGCAACAATGGTTAGATTGAAATGATTAGAAAAGAGCGATAGAAGAAATAGACTGTTTTTTCCCCAAATTTATCACTGAATGGTAAAAATTAAATCCAGTTTATAGATTGAGTAGGTACTTATTCAAGTTTGTAATCATATCCTCAACTAAGTCGAAAAAGAAATCACGGATACAAAATGGAGGATTTGCATGTACTTAATTAAAGTATATGTTTGGAATGTGACACTATATGGATGTGAAATTTGGATGTTGAACAAATCGAACCAAAATCCTCTTAGAAATTTTGAGATGTTGTGTTAGAAAAGAAGAATGAGTTAGTTGGATGGAATGAAGAAAGAAGACAGAGTACCTACCTACTAAGTGAAATAAATGAAACCAAAATATACTAAGTACTTATTTTTGATACTAAGGTATGATTCAAGTTAGAAGATGGAATATTCGAATATGATTGAACACGTAGATGACCTTCTACAATTTAATAAACAATAGAGGATAAATGGCAAGAGCACGAAAGCGATCAAGAACATTACGAGCAGATAAGTACCTACCAAAAAGTTGATTTCTGATGCGGGAATGATAAAATACAATGAATATGAAAGACTACAAAACCTATCTTAGGGTTGAATAACTGAATAGAGGTAATGTGCATTATACATGTATTATCTATAGGTAGGTAAGCATCTTCATTTTACTAGGTAAGTTTTAAGTACACATAAAACTTACTTTCGATCGTATCCAAAATAATTACTCCAATCGATGGATTTCTTTTTTAATTCAATTTTGGAGTCGTTTATATTATCATCTTCTAGTTTTAATGTTTTATTAACATTATTGTTATTATCTAAACTGGTTATTGTTTTATTGGCATTTGAGTTATTATTTGGTTCGGATCCCAGAAAAATATTGTTTAGCTCTGCGGCTACTTTTGGGTCTGTGTGCAATTCGTTTGAAGAAATGTTTTTCTTCGACCTTTTTATTAATCTCGGTTTTACCCATCTATTTTGATATTTATTGTTTCTCCTATTTTGATATTTTGGAATAATAAAATATTGTCTTTTTATCGATTTACCACTCCTTTTATAATAAGGATCGTATAAATTTTGGTATGCTTCCGGTATGTTACGTTTTTCTTCTTGTGCAGATCTTAGGTAATCCTCCAATTCTTCATCTGACATGTCTTGTACATTTTCTTCAATATAATTGTCCACAAGCGAATTTATAGCTGACATATAATTATTTTCCTGTTCTTCCATATTATTTTTGTATTCTTGTACAATACCGGGATTAGTTTTGTACCGTTCACGGAATGCAGAAGGCGTTGCGTATTTATCATAATTCAATTGTTGTAAATTGTCCGACATGCCAGAATCTTCTCTTTCGCGGAATATTGACCTTTTTTTACCCCAGGGTTTTTGATTAAACCGAGGACTTTCTTTTGCTAAATAGTTCATAAACGCTTGAACCCTTTGTCCTTTGGAAATCGCACTGCTTATTGGTGCTCCTTGTTCAAATATATTTTCTAAATTCCTTAAATTCTTTTGATAACCATAACCAATGTCTTCCGGTTGACCATAATCTAAAATGCAAAATATGATTATTAAAATTAGTTAAATACCTACCTACATTTTAAATTTTGTATTTATTTAGGTACCAAAGTGCATTTAAAGTAGGCGCCTAACACTTAAATTTGCTACCCAAATTATTTAGATACTATTAATTTATACCGAACGTCGTTCAAATGTATTGATATTTTCTGTTTAAATTAAATATATTTTTCTGGGAAAAAAAAATGTGCAAGACTACATGAGTCTTGAACTGTTTGTCTTGCATGTTAAGTCTTGCTAGTGTCAATGTCGTATAGGCTTTGGTATTGCTGAAAGACCAAGACCAATTTAATTTTGCTCATCACTAAATTCAATATTATAATTACCATACCTATATAAGTGGTAATCGGTAAAAAAGACCAAGGAAAAAAAGAATACAGAAAAAAACCCAACAATTTTAAAATTATAAATATATTAATTAACTATGAAAATTAAAATAATTTTTTTAAAATATTGAAATATAAAAAATATATTTCTTATGAAAAATGTTTGTCTTTTAATGTGAAAAAAAGTTAAACATTATTAAAATAATGATTGGTTGCGATATAGGTAGGTATCTTTCATTCCATTTATTCATTGAAATTACATATAAAAACCTTTTCATACTATAATGCTATTATTTGAGTGAACTAAACTTAATCTATCAAAAATCACTTAAGTATCAGTTTTCTAGTGTTATAATATAAATTATAATGACATTATTTTTTTTTACGTAATAATTAATTATTATATTAAAAATGTTAAAATTGTTGTTCTTTTTTTCCCGATATTTCAATTAGTACTTATAGGTAGGTAAATTTCAGTTTGATAAACATTATTATAAGTATAGGTATAGTAAAGTAAGTAAGTATAAGTTTACAAACATTTTAATGTTGTTTAGTGGATAAATATCTAAACTGTAATTATTATTAGAATCGAGATAAATGATTTAATCTTTTGAGTTTGAAATTAAAAAGTACAAAAAAGTTATCGATTTTGGACATATTTAATCCGTGGTTGTGATTTAAACCTATATGTAAGAAAGTACCTTCATTAGAACAATTATTATTACCTAGGTTCCCTTTCCTTCCTCCTAACCTGAAGGGCCCTAAAGCTGCCTGCAAATTTGCAAATCTGCTTGTTCGATTTAACGAGAAATTGCTAACTAATAAAATAGGTTACTCAGACTCGTTTGCCCAACTGAGATACATCTCACCAGCGTGATTGGCGGGCTCCTTTTTTATCATCGAACCCTCATCCGAAAGTACTGACTAAGCACTTTAGGCAAAAAATGTAGGTTATTACAAAATATGTTCCCTAAAAAGATGCCAAGCCGGGCGGCTTTGTTCGTTAATTAGGCGTGTGCCTATGCCTATCGTCCACAATTGTTTGGAAATGCGATTGGATATATCCATAATAATACATAGGTAAGTATAGATAGGTACCTAGTATTTATAAGTACCTATATAATATTAGGTACATGGTGTTTATTTTTATTTATATCATTTTTTTGCATTCGTTCCCGAGCATTGGACTAATAGGTAAGCACCCGAAATAGCGTATAACCTATTGTGTTAAACAAATATATCTACCTACCTGATTGTTAAATACCTATTGTCACATTTAACTGTACGCATAACCAATTGGTTATTTGTGTATTTCAATTTGTGATTGCAAATGATCATGCAATAGGAGTAATTTTTATTACTCCCGTTATAGGCATAAAATAGTGTTTTACAACTTGAGGCAGGAGCTACCACCCAGCTACCCTATTTTATACACACACCATTTATAACCATAAGGAAAAAAGTCTCAGAGTGGTTATTACGACTACTTCGAAGACCTTATAGTGACTCAGAATTCCTAGTGAATATAGGCAATATAACTACTACATACATCGGATTTTTAGAAGACCTATCATAGGTCCATAGATCTACACTTCCATATACATTATAAATGTATATACCACCAGTGGCATATGCAAGGGGGGGAAGTTAAGGGGATTTCAGCTACCGCCCTCTCGTTGACCGTGATCAATATAAAAACAAAATAATAATAATAATAATAATATACATTATATTTAGGTAGGTAGGTATAAACTATTCAGCATTGCAAACATACCTTTTTACTAATAAAATAATAATCAATGCACATTTGCACTACTACTATTATTAACCTCATTATTTATTATTACCTATTTATTGTACTATATAATTTATGTATTTTGTAAAACATTATTATTTTTAGTCAAGCCTCCTCCCTTCCTTTTGAAAAATCCGAATACGCCATTGCTTCTTAGAATATACATCGGATGGAAATCGATAGGTTATAGGCGTAGTTCGATCGATTACCACACAGACACACATTGTACTTGCGTTTTATAGAATCAGTAAAGTTACCAAAGTAAATAATGAGGTTAATAATATTTAACAACAGCCGTACGGATTAAATTAAATACATTTTACCTGGGCTATAATAAACCATCCTCGGAGGAGTCGCTTCTTCTATTTTGTTCGAAATGGCTTCCAAAGCGGATCGCAAACTATCATCAGATAGCACACCTGGTACAACCAACACCGCGATGACGGTGAACACGGTGAGCACTCGGTCATTAGACAATGGCGAGATGTGGCGAATCATTTTTTCAACAATGACTCTTTTGTGACGAACAATTTTTGTTTATTAATTTTCTTCCTCTCCGACGACTATTGTAATAGCTGCAGGAGATTGTGTGTGGTCAGAAAACGAAAGGGGACGACGTTACAGGTGGTGGTTGCCCGGGCAATGAGAGCTGCGCACAAAACGGAATAAATCAATATAAAGGAGCGTCTCTCCCGCGTACCCTCTTTGGCGGAAAGGGGGTTGACAGGTCGGGGAGGGGGAAAGGGGGCGCTTCCGTGCCATGCGTACATGATGCTAATTAGAAAGGTACACCAGACTTTCTTTTGGTGAAAAAGGAATTTGTACAAATATTAATTATAATATCTGATTCCTAAATCCTAATATCCAATCATTTGTTAAGCGGTTGTAAAAGATTTCACATAATGTTGTAAAAATTAAAATTATAATTTTCATTATTTAGAAACTTTTCGACAGTATTATTTATCTTTTTCAAGACTTTAAAATTCATTTCAAAAATCGATTTTTCATTATTCAAAGACTCAACATTGGTAGGGAGGGAGGTAAGATAGATACATAGTACATAGAACGTTTTGAAACTGAAATATTATGCAATTGTGTACAAAATATTGTGATTTTTACTACCTATATTGATAACTGTTAATAATTCTTTTTTACTTTTTGTATATGAATAACGTATTAACTAATTTGTTAATTTACTAAAAAGTATTTACTGTCTAATCTATAAATTAAATTATAATCAGGGTATTTGTTATTTTTGCTTTATAATATTTTTACTAAAATTGTATGTTTTTATTAGAATAGCCTGTTTTATACAAACATCCATAATATATTTGTGTAAAACAAAATATAATATTCCAAATTATACATTTAAACTTTTTCGAATTCATTTTTAATTGTAATATACATGTAGTTGCTAAAATAAAAACTGATTGAATTATTTAAAGTTGTACCTAACACATAAAACCAATTTGTACAAATTGTTTATTTATTACACTCAAATTGATGTTATCAACCCCAGATAGGGAATGTATCGGCCCACTGACTGTACTGACAGTATTTATACTAGTCCAAAATTATACAAATTAAATCAAATTGACATAAGTTCAATTAAAAACAAGTATAATTTTGACTGACCACCAAGATTTTCTCTATACCTCACCAGTTCAATCCGGGCCTGGATGATATTAGTCGCTATATTGTTGTATAATTTTTATTAGGTATATCGAAAACAATTTGATTTGTATTATCTATTAATTACATTATATTACATTATATGTTCTTAACCTTAAGTACTTTTATTTATTATTTAGAAACAGTAGTAACAAACTTAGCAAAATAATAAAAAAATAATTCAGCTTTATATAAATCTTAAATAAACTTTATAAATATTTATAATGCAAGAGAAAACCATTTAATTATTTTTTTGCTCATTGTTTAAAGGTAGTACTTTTCCCTCGTCATAGCAGTCATATATCCATTGTGGTGTAACAGTGTTCTGTAACTGAAATATATATTTCAAATTCAAATTTTGACAAAATAAATAATCTTAATGAGACAATATATTCTAACCTTTAGATCATCTGTATCTATTGAAACAATATAATCACATTTTTCCTTTGTATTCAATTTTCTGTAAAAATAATAGTAATAATACTTGTGAATTGAACAAATTAAAAAATATTATAAGTGATTTATGGCATTAAAAAATTATAAATTACCCATCAAGTGCAATTATGTAGCGATAACATTCTTTGGTTATTAAAGGTTTCAAAGTAGGTGATAAATAAAATGAACATTCTCGGAATACATTTTCTATTAATGGCAATGGTGCACTGCGTTCATCAGCTAATATATCATTAGAAATATTATCTGAATCTGAATCAATATCAGTAGCTGCATCATAAACACTTAAATCAACAGTACATTGTTGATTTGCTAAAACATTTGTTTGCGATGTTGAAATAACTGGTTGCCTATGTAAATAAAAAAATGTTATCAGTTAAGTATTTAAATTCTTATAATAATCATTGCTTGGAACAGGGCAATGCATTTACATATATTTTAGGAAACTGCATTTTCAAATTCTGATTAGAAATAAATACGCACAAAATAAAAATATGTGTTGCATATTTAACCAAATTAAGAGATTTTCCATATAATGCTTGTTTTATTATTCAATAATAAAAACAAATAAAGTTCAATAATAAAAGTCACACTTTTGTGTCATCTACATTATAAATTATATTATACAGAAAAATGATTGTATTAATAATTAATAAGGTCAAGTGTTATCTAGTAGTAAGATTCTTGATAAAATTCTTATAATATAAATGGTGGGAAAATCTGGTCAAAAATGATTTAAAAATCTTGCTGGATGAAGAAGAGCTAGTAATACATAGGAAAGAATGGTGAAACATTGTAGAAACGGAAATTGGTCGAAAAAAATTGTAGAAGTAATACATTTTTTAATATTTAGATTTTAATGAACAATAAACCAAAGAAATAAACAAAATCTATTATTTAATTAATAAAAAAAATGTATTTTTTATTGTATAAAATGCTATGTTAATATTTAAATTTCAATTGAAATATTTCTTTTAACCCGTTATTGATTCACATGTGTTCGCAACAATCACACAAATAATATTTAGATCAGTAGTCATATAAATATTATCAACTGAATTTGATACTATTAATGCCTTCAAATGACATATTATCCTCTAAAATAAATGATAAGACTATTGATCATTCTCAAATAGTTATCTATTAACAAAGTTGACAGTACCGATAAAATAAACATCGCACATACCCTGCTGTAACGATAAAAATGAAACAAATACTTCAGGAAGTGAATAGATCTTAATATTATAGACTCGAGTTGATAAATTTAATAACTACATTTCTAATTATATTGAGTTTTTAAATATTTTTTTTTTTTTTTAGAATGGAATTCCCAATTTCTGTATTTTTATTTTACAAATTATTAATTATATATAAGAAACATAATGTACTTTTTAGTAAAAGATAAAAAAAAAAAATATATAAATAATTTTATAAAAAGTCAAGTGTGATCGCAGGGCTCACAATGTAACAATAGTGTTACAAAATATGTCTTTTTTTACACATAAGTATGTATTTATTCATTGTTTTTGTTTTTTGTACACAGCTATAATTTTAACACTTAATAAAATTATAAATTGTAACTACTTGGATGGAATGTTGTCCCATATATCGTCAGTATCATCATTATCTTGAGGTGATTTAACGTGTTCATGTATCTCATCTTCACTCTCAATTTTATTTTGCTCAATTTTATCCAAAGCAAATCTAAATACATTTTGATTTAAAAATTATTATACGAGAAAATATATTTAATTTAAATAGTACCTTCTCCATGGATATCGACATCTATTTGCATGACATTTGTGTATCCAATCACTTTTAACTATGCGATAAACACCTTGGCTTTTAGCTTCACGATACTTTGGTGTATTTGAAAAAGCACATCTATAAAATACATACATAAAAAGTTGTAAAAAAATATATTAAGCAATTAAAATATTTATTACAATTTTAAATTTAATAAATCACAGTTTTAGATTCTGAGTGAAGCAAAGAAGCTAATTGTTTACAATGATGTTTTTTTTTTTTTGAACAACTTCTCTACCAGAAATATTGTTCGGATTTACAAATATAGCATGTTTTCTGAAAGGAAATCTAACTGGAGGGGTACTTTAAAGAGGTCATTTTTTACTTTTCTAGAAGTTTTTCTACTAAATCAGAAAAACCAGGAATACGGGAAAATAGGTACGATATTAAACAAATATTATTAAAGAAAATGTTTAATGCATATGTAATTATTTTACCAAAATATGACATATATATAGTTAACAAAACAACACTATAAACTGAATTCTGCTCAGAATCGTTTTTTGGGTAGCAATGGTTAATCGTTGCTTTCAGATATGCATTAAATTATAGTCAGTATCCTATCTTCCTAACTTTCCCCCTACAGCAGTGGCAACACCTGGCCCCATTATCTTTTTTTTTTCGATTACTAAATTTGTTCAAAGTAAACTCAATTTTGGTCTACAAAACGTATAATATATTTTATATTTCAAAAACCAATTTTTAGGATCTTTTAGTTTCTTTAATGTGAACACATTTTTGTTAAATTAGAAAGACTTTAAATTCTACTCTGATGTCTTAAAGCAGAATATAAATAAATAATTTATACATAAAACATTATTCCTGTATAATTAATTTTTGTATTATCTATATATACAAATATATATTTCTAGTTTGAAATGTTAAAATGACAAATAATTAGGAAAACACCTATAAAATAATATATATTCTATTATTTCATTAATTTAATAGACAAATTTAGTAAGGTAATATAATTAATTGTGATATAAATTATTTTATTTTATTACTACTTACATTAAATGTGTACATGATTGATCCCAATTATTTTTATAAATAGCACCCATTTCTAAAGCTTTTGAACGTATGGCACTACGATTTGGATTTTCATAACCACTCATTAAAAATATCACATCATTTAATAATTCATTAAAAGGTTTTGTCACTGGCAATGGATTTTTACTAAGTTTAATTTTTTTTCTTGAAGGTTCAGCTGAATTGGGATGTTGATTTGATGTTACTGGAGATTCTTTTTTTTTAGTCCCTGTCGCTTAAAAACACCATTATTATTCACACATTTTTAATTTTATATAACCTTATATTATAAAATAATTATTTTATATTTTTAAATATAAAATGTATTATATTTCTAAGACTAATGGCATCCAAATTGTAGATGAAATTTTCTTAATATATAATTTTTAATTTAATTTACAAGACGCAATGGCAAACCTACAATAGGGGATATGGAGGTCATATTCTCCTCTGTGAGCTAAAATGTTATGGTATCAAGTTATCAAGATAAGTAAATATTGTTTTACATAAAAAAATATATATATATTTGTCTTATGTGTATAATTGTATTATATACATATAATATAATTATATATATATCTCCCCCATGAGAAAATCCTAAATCTGCTACTGATAAAAGGTTAACATATTTTTTTCATAATGTATTGATACAAATAATGATTATTCTTTTAGAATAATTATTACAATAATATTTTAAAAATTATAAATTATTAAACAATGTGAAAACCATGCAATCTTTATAAAACAGATATTGTATTATCTTCTTATAATTTAATAGATATTTTAAACATAATACTTAAACAGTTAAATAAGCAAATAATTATTTAAAATATGTAGGACAGTTTTGGAAAACTTTTATCATTAAAATAAAGGTTAAGAATATATGTTACTGAGAAAAAAATAATTTTAGCTAACAATTGATTTAAAATTTGATAAAAACACTTAATTTTACAGAAAATTAATATACCTTTATTTTGAAATGGTGTAATTATTGAATCTTTTTTTTTTAGTTTAACAGAATCATTTTTGGAGACTTTTCGGCTTGTCAAAGGTGAATCATTGTTATCTTTTCTTAATGCTTTATCATTTACACTGTCTTCTCTTCTTGTTAAATTTTTTTTATTAAGCGCAATTATCCGTTGAATTGGTGAGTCCTTATCTACAATTTCTTTATTTTCATGTCGTTTGTTAAATAATTTACCAGCAGAGTGTAGATCATCTGGTTCATCATCCATTCTTAGTGTAAATGATCCTAATTGCACAAAATTTGATATCGGTGGTTGAATAGGTTCTTTTTGTTCTCTTTGTGGAATATCTTTTGAATGAAATGTTATGAATGATAAACCAAATGTGGCTTGCTTAATGAACGGTTGTGTACACACAATTTTTACTCTATCCCATGATTCCTTACAAGCTAACGTCAATTGATCAGAATCAAAAAAACGAACTTTGTTTACATTCAATCCATTTTTACACTCGTGCAATGTCATTAAAGAAGAAGTTACCAATAGTACCTAAAAGGCAAAACAAATATAAATTATTAATATTATAAAAGTAAACATTTATGAGATTTTATTAAGTGTATAAGAACACTGTACAATGTCAAGTACAATAGCAAGTTTTAATAAAATATTAAATTAAAACTTAGGTTGGAATTGTTAACATTGTAAACTTCACAAACTTATTAAAAGAAAAATAAAACCTATTAATAACAAAGTAATTCCAATTATTGATTCAAAAGTACCGGTCTTCTTCTCTACCGGAACTTTAAGATATTTAAATATTAATTAAATCTATTTGAATTAAGTTAGACAAATTACTGAATTCTCCAATACTGTTCAAGTTTGATGATTTTTTTTATGAAATTGGATAAACCAAGTAGTACAGTTATTGAACAAGATTAATTGGACTTCTTGAACTTAAATATAATAAAATGCAAAATTTACTTGATAAATTTAAATTGAACGCTAATATCACAGAATAACTTTGTCTAAATAATAACCAGGGCTCATGATGATAGCATTTGCATATTTTTTTTTTGAAAAGTTTTAGTAACACCTAAGAAAGTTACAATTTTTTTTTAGATAACCATGAAGTCAAATACAAAATTTTTTATTGCATATTTTGAAGTTTGACGCTATTTTGATATTTTTTTGATTTTATTTTGTCTGTTTAAACTTTTTTATGTATTAATTTATTTAAAATACTTGTAATTCTTATTATTTATATGAATTAGTTTTGAACTCGTCAACTATCTATGCTTATGTGAAGGAGTTATTATTTTAACAAATACATGTTTTTATTATTAATATAATATGTATGCCTGAAATTCTTCTGATGTAGATTTTCCAACAAATATTTCAACAAAGGCCGAATTATCATTTCCAATATCAATGGAGCTAATGACTGACGTTTCTAGAAATTGGAGAATTACAGTAGCTTGTTTTTCTCCAGCCTTACAACGCCATGTTTTATGTGAATCTGAACTATTTAAAATGTATTCTGCTTTGTTGGCCTAAAATAGGAAAAATGTATAATACTATGATAAAAACCTTAAAAATAATTTGAGAGGGAAAATTATTTACTTGTTCTTCACTACTTATGCTTATAATACGATCCACTTTAATTGGTCCCATGTTTGATAATTTTATAAAAAAATACTTCAATTTCACAAAAAGTAGTTATCACGCATTTAAATAAACACTTAATTAAATTTGTAACTTAGGAATACTCAAAAATAGTGCATTTAAGTAATTCAATATTCCATTTCAGAATTCAAAATTATGTGATATGGCGATTCTACCTAACTTCGTAATTTGTTCGGTAACCACACTGCTTATCATATTAAACCACTATTGTGCAATTATACATGACGGGGTCAATTTTCCCAAAACTGTGCGGAAATCACTGAATACGGGAAGACACCACTGCCGCGAAAGACAGCTACTACGAACATTTACAATTCCGTCGTAGCAATAACCTTTAATTGTTCCGAATCATGGTTTAAGATTTTAAACCATGCTCCTAATAATGGAAATCACTACGAGAATAATTTAACGGTGTTGGTGGAAAAGAATTCAAGTCGATTTTTTTATATTTTATATTAACGTTTTGTATGCCATTTTGTGCCGCGTTACTGGTACCACTAGTTTGAACAAAATATGTAGGATCGTTATCAAGTTAATATGTATCTCTACGTTTTGTCACAAGTTGTGATACCTAATTAAATTTACTGTTTGTGATATAACACCAGACTCAAACTGAAAAATTAAAACTTTATCAATACTCATTGTAATACATTACAACAATAATTTTTATTATGTATGTTTTCTTTTAATTTGTTAATTTGCGAAATTTCAATTTATTATTTATAATAATTAAGTATTTACACTCTTAATTTGTTTTAGCTTTAAAATAATATGGAAAACAGTGACAGTTTGAAAATAACCACAGAATTTACAAGTGGATTACAAATTCTTTTCGGACATGTGAAGAAACATAATGTTGTATTGCCAAAAATGGAAAAACCTTGGACTCTGGGATTACTTTTATTTTGGATTAAAGATAACTTATTGATAGAAAAAGACAAATGTGATTTGTTTATGAAGGGCAATACTGTCCGGCCTGGCATAATAGTTGCTGTCAATGATCAAGATTGGGAACTTTTAGGAAATTTAAATTATCAAATTAAGAATAACGATAATATTACATTTATATCTACATTACACGGTGGTTAATAAATAAAGTGTTTCTATTTAATTTGTTTTTATATTTATTTAAGATGATTAATACATTCCTCTTTAAATATAAACAATATTTTATAATATGTATCACTTTTTACAATTACAATATATAATTTGTTTTACCTATTTCAACATCTATGAATGGTAATCAAAATAAATTATACAATGATTGTTCAATGTGAATACATGTACAAGAATAAATTTGTCTACTTTTTTAATTTAGCTAATTCACTTTCAAATGCATCAGTGATTTGTGAATCTTTAAATTTAAATAAAACTGTTTGAGGTTTAACACATTTAGTAGGATCAAGAACACATATTAATTGAACATTTTTTGGATTGCGTTTAGTAAAATTAACAGTGTCATTGAGTAATGTATTTACCATAATGGTTCCTAAAGCGCTATCATTCCTCATTATTAATTGTACTTTTTTGTTATCAACTGGTTTTATATATAATTGACCAATTCCGTGTTCTTCATATTTACCATTTTTTAAGCAGTATAATTTACTTTTAGATTCAAAAATTGCATCGTTTTCTTTTACAGGTGTAAAATTTACAACAGGAGGTTGATCCTCATCATCTTCTTCATTTTTTAGCTTTTCAGTTTCACTGATTTTACTTTGGTCAGGAATTGATCCAAAACTAAAAAATGGTTTGCTATCAGTTTGTTGTGGCAGAGGTTTATTAAATGAGAATGATGACCCAGAAGCTCCAAAATTAAATGAGGGTGTTGTGTTTAATTTAAATTCTGGAAATTTATTTAAAGGTGATGTTTTTGAATCATTAAATGCAAATTTATCAGAAGAGTTCTTAGTTAATGTAGTTGAAAATGATTGCTGATTAAATTTTACATCTGGCAACTTAAATCCACTAGATGCTGTAGAAGAAAATTTTGATTCTATTACAGATTCTGGATTTTTTTCTTTAGTTTCTGTTTTACTATCTTTTTTAATTTCTTCATCTGTCTTATTTAGTTCAAAAGTACTGTTCTTTGATTTAGTTATATCAGAGACTGGACTATCCTTACTAAAATTAAATAGTAATCCATTGGATGTATTACTAATTGGCTTTATAAAATCAGAAGAAGTTTTTTGAACTTTGACAGAATTATTTTTCACTTCATCAGAATCCTTTATGTTCGTCACCATATTTTCATATGAAGATACTTGAGGAGATTCTAAAATTAAAAGAATAATTTATATCAAAACATTTATAAATAATTAAATATTTAATATTATACATTAATAATCACCGCAAAATTAATAATAATTACAAAATATATTATATGCAATGTATGTGTACGTGTATATATAGTACAGTTAATGTTAAAAATAGTATGTCAAATTTACATACAGCAAAACCAACTTGCTGTTAGTTTTAATAGTAAACTGAATTGGCCTATTATGCAATTGTTATTACTATTATTTAAAAGTAAGACTGTGTTTGTACATCAGTTTTTTTATCAATATTTTTATTTTTAATCAAAATGAAAAAAATTTTAAAATTGTAATATTTCACATGTTTACCCTTACTTAAAAATTAAACTATTGAAAATAAACTAATTTAAAACAAATACAATATCCTTTAAGTTAGATAATATGCCAATTTACTTTACTATTAAAATTAATATCATAAAATTATTGGATTTACTGAACAGACATTGAACATTATCCAATTTCAAATATTAGCCATAACAATTTGTTAAAAGAACAATTTACCATGCCTTTATTAAAAAAATATTTTTAATGTTATGAAATTGAAATTCCTGGGGAGGAATTTTGTATTTGTGGGGACAAATGCAATAGACAACTTTAAATTAAAATTGAAAATATTATTAATATTATTATTTAAGAGTATCCAGAATTAATTTAGAACACCTATCTAATTTTTATCAAAACTGATATGCACAAGATATTTTCATGAAATAAATTTAATCAAAATTAAAACAAACTTATTAGAAACGCTTAAAATCAAAATAAGTACATGTTTAATAAAAGTGATATAACCTATTATAATTTTAAACTTGAAAATAGATTTTACTACAATGTCAGCATAAAACTAACATATTTTAATAATATAAATATTTTATTATTTAAAAATTTTAAGTTTTAAATAATTACCTATAATTAATGTTAAAATTAATTATTATATAAACTTTAGTCCAATATTAGATGTATGGTATAAATATTAGTATCAAAATTTCCAGAATTATATTCTCTCCTAGGGTTACTATTTAAAAATCAAAAACTGATATTTATTTATTAAATGTAGCTATCTAATAAAAGTAGTCTCAAGTACACTGCTGTTCCAAGAAAAAAAAAATGAGATTATGTTGTATTATATTTAATATTATAGTTTCGCATATTTTTTTTAGTATAATCTTTTTTTTTCGATTTATAGTGGTTTTTCTTAGGACGGCAGTAGTCTTTAACGACTTTAAAAAATGTCATACAAATAATTTTCATTTATACATTTATATATGAATTACTAACCTTTAGAAGAAGCCATTAGAGAATCAGTAATATTTGTCTTACAATTACTAAGAGAGACAAATTTGCTAATTTGTTTTTCGTAGTCTTTTAATGTAGGAGTTAATACACAATATGGATTTTTCTGAACAGCATTAGTAATAAACTTAACAAATGCTTCATTAAGTTTCATCACTTTAATAGAATCAATAATTGTTGGACCTGAACTTTTTGAACAGTTATTATCTGAAGTTTGTAAACTACTTGATGTTGTTAATGAATTAATGGTGGATGCTGATGGATGGTTTCCGCTTTCGCTAGGTGTTTCATTATGGTTTTTTGTTAGAAAAGAAAATGCTTGTTTTGAGTTTGAATTACTGACTATACTATTAAATCCTGCAAATCCAGAAAATATTGGCTTTATTTCACCAGTTTCATCTCTTTGTAACATTCTTTTTGCTTTTTTCACAACTCTATTTTTTAATATAGAATGATCTGCTAATTGGAAAATTCCTGGTTCTACTTTTTCTTCTTCATAATCCCAATTGTCTCTAGTTAGTTCGTTACCAGCTCTACGCTTACTCATAATGATGGATGTTCTAAAATTGTAAAATCAATAATATAATTTAAAAACAAATACAATTTATTTAACAATTAATGTTTATTTATTTTATTAGCAAATAGATAGATTTAAAATTGTATTTTATAAATTATACTAAGAACATAGTCATTACTAATTAGTATGTACTTCAGTTAGTTTAGGTAAATATTATAAGTATTTTGATGATAAAATATGGGCTTTAAAGGAAAGCAAATTTCTTGAAAACTGTCATATTATAAATTACAAAACAAAAATTTTGAAAATATAATTAAGTTTAATCATATATATCATTGACCATACAATACAATAATACAAGGGAAATATGTGTATCTAAATTGACCTGCAACGTATTTAAGTATGTATACAATTAGTAATTTTACATATTTTACAGTTTAAAACAATGTTTGAAAAACAAATACTAAGTTTCTATGTACATTTTTAGCAATTATTTTAGTAAAATGACCTAGATAATAAACAAAGTGATGGGAAAAATGGTGTTAATTTTTTTGTGAACTGGATATGAACAAAATTTTCAAGAAATGGATTTGAATGTGAACGGATTATGGCATGTTTATTGACAAGTTAAATTTTTTAGACCATATTTATGTTTATTACTAATATTTTATTTACATATTGGAAAAGAAAATTTATATTTTTATTTACTAGGTATAGAAAAAATGAAATGTAGTGTTATTTATGTATTTTCATTAATTTATAATTTGTACAACGAATATAGAGAAGATGATTTAAATCAGGAAATCAAATTTATAATTACAAAATATTGCATAATAATTTTTCAGAAATTTGTTTTACCATTCCAAATCAGAAATATGCACTTATTTATCATTCAGTGTTTATTATTTATATACTTTCTCACTTGCCATTAGTTACAATTTTCAATTTTTTTATTGACAATACCCACTATATTAAATACTATATTTTTAAAACTCTTCTGGGAAATATTTCTGTATGTTATAAAAATATTATAAAGAAATAATTTATTCATCATAACTAATTAATTAGCTAGTTAAATAATTGACTAGTTCATTTTGAAAACTGTCAACTAAAATTTAAATAGTTCAAATTGAATGTCTGAAACTTGAACTAGTGATTTTTTAAAAATAATTTTTTTATCACTGCTAATATAACTAATTAAATACTTTTTAAACTTACTTTTTTTTTTAAATATTGAAATATCTATACAACTTTTAAAAAAAATAATTGTATTTTACTATTTTTACTTTATTATTAAACACTACAATATATGATCGTAAATATCGTTAAGAAAAAGATAAAGGATATACCGTTTTTTTCCCTGCTAAAAAAAAAAAAATATCATGTGCCTCAAGTAAAAGTTGTCCATTATTTTTATCAACTCAGAAGTATGATAATAAAAATGATAAATTAATATTGTTTTGTTTATGGGTGTACATTATCAACAACTACGATTTGGTCACACTGTAAATATAAATCCCAAAATCAAATCATATCCATCAAAACAAAAGTATCTTGTATTTTCTTTGAGAAAAGTTTTATTCCCCGTGGTTTATCGGCTATTCGAATATCCGATAGACTTTTTCATTATCAAGTATCAAGCATAGATATAATTATGTCTATGTTATCAAACCACTACTACAATCACAAATTAGGTCCTTGTTACGATCATAAGTGACTTGAACGTAGACTAAATATTGAGGTTTTATATTATTAATACTATACTATAGGTTCTATGTTCTATCTACAACTGACAATACAACACTATACTCAATGCTCATAGACGATCAGTCTATTCCAGGCCTATGCTACCACGGTTTATACCTACCTAGCTTCTTGCTTCTTTTTTAAAATTCCTTTACGAAGCATATCGCTACTCCTTTTTTTGTTGGATCCATGAACAGTCGTTAAACAATAATTAAAAATTTAAAAAAACAGCTCTTCTACTCGCGATCAAATCACTTTTGAAACTAAACAATATTTAAATACATACAAGACTAAAAATAAACAAGCATGTATGTGAACATGCACTTGCGTATTCTTGCATGATATATACTGCAAACAAGACTATAATACAAGAAATTGCAATAGTGTGAACCCGGCATAAGATATATCTTAAATTGTATATGCAACTTTACTCACCAACCAGTAGCGCTCTGGTAGTTATTTGCATTTAAATAAATTATTCATTTTATCAGTTATAATTTAAACAATTATAAGACAAACAAAAAATCCAGAAATTAGATTATTTAGATAATCTAAGATTATAGTTCATATTCCATTCCTTTTTAATCCATGACAAAATGATACGGATAAAGATAATCTTTAATCGTGGCCTATAGTAAAAACTTTGATCTCAGTTAATTTTATACAAATGAGATAAAAATGTATAGCAAGCAAGGTGGATATAAATCTTAGTAGTAGGCAGCAGCCATGATTAAATATAGTATCACAGATTAGACAAAATATTAAAATTAAAGATTACTATCTTCAGCCACAGATATATTATAATCATAGATGCCATATTTTATGGATCTATTGTTATTTAATATTTTGTCATGACATATATGTTTATATCTAAATAATCAAAAATATAATGTAAATTATTATAATTGTTAAAAAAATAACCTTCATCCACTCCCCCATGACAATCATGACCCCCATTTGACAGCTATTACATTACTACTTCTCTCGTCTATCTATCTATATTGCCCTATGATATAAAACTTAACCTAATCTTAACCTATAATATAAGACAATATAGTAAAAATTTATTTTTAACTTCTCATCTCATACAGCTGCAAAATAAATTAAAGATGACATTTACTCTATTGCACACAACACAACGTGTATTTAGGTACCTTAGAATTTATAATTGTTAATACACCATTATTATGTATAATCGGTTGATCTTAGGTAATAATGTAATATGATTGATTATTCGCTGAAGGAATGATGTAAATGATAATATTATCTGGTAAATCATCAGTCAATCTGTGTTTTAAGAACAACACATATAAAATATACTCTTAAATGCAAAAAAAAAAAACCAGGCTGTCTTTAGATAATGAAGATGGGTGCAGCCACTATTATAGGTAAGAAGTTGGTAAAGTAATTGAGAGTAAATTTAATTGCTAATGAAAAAAACAATACTGAGCGGACTTCAATTGATAATATTGCTTTGTCAACAATATATGTCATATTATAGAAAAATAATTAGATATGCATTAAATATTTTCTTTAATATTGTACAGTAAAAACTCAATTAACCGCCACTCTCTGTTATCTATGATCCGTCACCATCTTACTTCTCCATAAAATACAAGACATTGCTGCTCAAAAAAAGAAACAGAATAAGATGATGAATTATTTTTAGTATGGTATTATTTTTATTTAATATTATTAGATTAATTTTGTCTGCAAATACACACGTTGTAAGATATATGTACATTTATTGAAAAATTTCTGTTAACCGATAATTTGATTAACTGTCATAATCCCGGTCTAGTGACTGACGGTAAATCAAGTTTCTACTACACCTATTTTCCCATTCGAAAAATTATTTACACAGTCAAATTATCTTTTTCTAAAAGCACTATTATTGTAAATTGGAACAAAATTTCTGGTAGAAAAATAGTCAATGGAAAAAAAAAAAATAATAAATATCATTATAAAACCAATACATTACTCCATTACACTTCCACTCAGAATCTAAAAAAACTATACTAAATTCATTTTTCAGAGCTTAAATAACATGTTATTTGTATAGACTTTAGGTAATAATACAATTTTAAGTACAATAAGTATTAACTTGAATAATGTAATATTGTGATTTTGTAATTAAAGTTTTGACTTAAATGACAGACTTCAGCTGGCTTTAATATTTTGTTTGATGAAATCAAGAATTTGTTGAGCTTTGCTTGTAAAAAGTTCTGTTAATACAATTACTTTAGTATAGTTAAGACTTTTAATGTTAAATTATAATGTTATATTATGTTTAATAGTTTACATTACGCTAAGGTAACAATTTATAATATCAATAACTAATAAATGTATTCAGTTAAAATAAACAATAAATATAGAACAAAAAAAATCCTTATTTAAAAATAAAAATATATTTAGATTTTTATATTTTACTAACAAACAAGGGTTCACAAATGATTAAATTACAAATTGTCCAAGTAAGGGGTGTGTGCTACATTACCATAACCAGCTAATGATAACTTGCTGCTTGCTATTTTGCTAGCTGCTTTCTTTACATCCTCAACACTGACTGCTTCAGCAGCAGCAATTAACTTTTCAAAAGGTACTACTTCTCCAGAAACAACAGCTTGGTTAGTGATGTTTTCTAAAATTCCAGCGCCAGATTCAGAAGATGCGACTAATGAGTAAATTAATTGGTTTTTAGCCCTGTTCACTTCACTGTCAGTGATTGTAGGAGAGTTTAAACTTTGAACGGCAGCCTTTAATACTTTACTGACATCTTTACCGTTGTAGGCCAAGAGAAAACCGAAAAGACCAGAATCAGAATAGTTATAGTTCAAAGAAGTCACAGCAAAGTTCTCAGAAGCATTTGTTTTTAAAATACTTTGTTCCAAAACTCCTTGACCAACTCCCCATTTCACAGATGATCCTTTGCCTAATAAAAATTCAAGTACAGCAAATGCGGCACTTTGTGGGTCTTTATAACTTACCCCTTCACCAACAACAGCCAAGTATGTAGTATCCAAAGGTTTTGATTTTCTTATATCACCACCGCCAAAGTATTTGGCTTTAGACACATTTTTTCGTTCACCATTGGGTAAATTCAAATCTTCTGAAATAAGTGCCAATGTATCCAAATCCACTCCAACACCGGATATAATAGCGTTGTTGCTATTTAAATTATTTTTAGCGTAATACAAAAGATGTTCACTTCCAAGTTTTTTGATGTTATATTTAGGCAAAAATACTGTGTTACCTAGACCATTTCTGTAAGCCGCTTTGTGAGCCAAGTCTAAAACTCTTAATTCTGGTGGTATGGTCAAGAGTTCATATTCCAAACGTTTTAAATTATCAGTCAATTCCCAAGGTTTAAAAGATTGGTTTGAAATTGAATCAATAAAATATCTCAAACCACTTGAAAGATTGTCCTTGTGTGCTTCAATTGTATACGTAATGGTCTCACGATCAGAAGTTACAAGATAATTAGTACCTAAGTGACCTAAATTTCTTAGGATTGCAAAAGTAGTTGATGATTGTGTAGTGAGTCCAGCTGAGCTGCGAAGCAATTGAGCAAGACCGGCGTTTTCTGGGTCTTCATAGCGTGATCCGGACAAGAATGTAACAGAAATACGCCCAATCTTTGTAGGATAATTTGGAACAGCTACAACCAAAGTGTTGTTGGGTAATTTTTTAGTTTGTACGTCTGGTCCTTTGATGGATAACGCTGCCGCTTTATTGGAGTAGCAACGTTTAGCGATGCCGTTTAGAACCGGCGTCTTTAATGTTGACATCGCCATTCAGAGCTGTAATAATATATTTTAAATTAGCTAATAGGTAATTTGTATTTGTATATAATGATAAAATAAAAAATGGTTTTACTTACAAATTAGTAATAGATGAAAGTAGTGAAATGTTTAATGTCGTTTGAGATCACATTTACTAGGAAAATTGAGTTAGGACAAATGGTGAACGAAAATCTGCGATTGAAAAACAGCTGTTTTGATAACTCAAAAACTAGTTGTACGGCAACTTTGGTATTTTCATTTGTCTACCACGACCAAGGTTATACACATTGAGTTATACCATAGATTATATGAAACCAAAAGGTGCATTCTTGATTTGGGATGTGGTCACTTTTCCCAAAACCATGGAAGAAAAAATTAGAACAATATGATAATGACAAATTACACTAACCTTAACTAAATCGAACATTTTCAAACGGGAATCTAGAATTATTAAATGCACAAACATGAAATACATTATGTATTTTGACTTTATACTGTTTAATTTTAATATGGTCGTAAACATGATAAATTAAATGATTTATCATAGCCCATAGTGACTTGGCGGGGTCACTCGCTCGCTCAGATTGTTTTAATTGAAAATAACCCTGAATTTGTTTTGCAAAATCACGTCGGTTGGGTAATAGGAAAAAATTATAATAATTTGCCGAGAATTTGGTTTTTTAAGTCGGTGTATTTGATTCAGATTTTGTTATCTTCAGGAAAAGTGCCCGATTCCGAAGGTCATAGAGTAAAAGCATATTATTGGTCCTTGCCCAACGCCCTCTTGATTTTCTGATAACACAAACTTACTTCAAGTTAGTAGGACCACATAAAAGAAATAAATTAATGTACATCTTTTACTATAATTTTGAAAATTATTTCAAATATTTTTTTTGACAACTGTATTTTAAATATTTTAAAAAATACTCTTTTTCTATATTACTTACACGTCAAAAAGTAGTGACTCTTTTACACAATTTAAAATATTTTTCTGTGATTAAAATAAGATATCTTGATCTTAAATCGTGGTATAACTCTATCTATAAATACCATGGAAGTGATATATCATGGATATATATATAATTAATAAACGTTAGATTGCCACCTAGCCCGTGCATTGTACATTATGATACTCCGTGCGCTGAGAGAGCGCAACTAGTCCGCGCATACAAATGAATGTGCCAAATGGGGCATTGTCCCCCTCACTATTTTAGTTAATGTTAAATATTAATTGTTTTATTACTTGTGTGGCTAAAATATTTATGCCATGATTACTTTTGTAAGTTGTAAAAAGTCTTATACTTTTGACTTTGGTCCCTCCCGGTTTATATTTCTGCGGGCGCTCTTGCGCATAAATTGTGTCATATTATTGTAAATTACCTATAATGTAAACATTCGTACAATATGTTATTATTCATTAGTGGTGTAGCCAGAAGGGGGTTAGATCCTAGTTACGTAAATAAAGATGGTACTGCTGTCCTGTGATAGCTGATGGACAATGGAGTAAACACAGCTACTAAATAAAATATGATGCGTTATAAGGAGTGGTATTAATAGTCGTTCGGTTATTTCTTTGTAGAGACTAAAATAAAAATTGAAGTGTAATTATAATTGCGTGTGAATCGCTTCGTGTGCGGAGGGCCTAAGGGAATATCATAAATCATTTAAAAAGTATATTATCATGTTATCACAAAATGATAGAATAATATTGTTTACATTTTCGAATATTTTTAACAAGGTTTTGCCATTTCTGAACAATTATTCTTATAATATCTTTTCGTATTAATTATTATAAATTATACACGTACGGTGAATCATTCACTGGACCACAATTATATTTTACCATGTATGAATTATGAATAGTTAATATGGCAATAGTTAAACCTTTTTAATGAAACACTTTTTAATTCCCAGAAGAATATCCACCTGAATGAATTCGATATACATGATGACACCACTGATACCTATAGATCTGAAGAATAAATGGATGGTAATACAATTTTTTGTATACCTAATTAATTTGATAGATTTATTAATTATATTGTTTTTATTTAGAAAATGATGTTCCAGTTGCCAATGAATTTCAGGGTTCTCAGTTAACTGCTGTTTCGTCCACTAAGTTGCCTGGTATTCAACTACATTCTATAGTCTATATGGACAATTTAGGCTATATTTACTATACAAATATTAGTATGGGTTTCGCACATTTTACCAACGGTAACGGATTTGACCTCGTCGTTTTTGTTCGACAACTTTTGCAAGTCCACCACGATGATACCTTTGGTTATGAAAAGAAATCGTTACAATTGTCAACGCATTTACGACGACAGCCGAATGAAGAACATTTTGTACGGCAATAACAATAGGTCCGACTACGATATCGTTATCGGGGAAATTTCGGTGTCGGAATGTTTGACGTACGTGGCGGCCAGATTGAAATTTCCGATGATATACAGTATACCCTCGCCGATGATTACGCACATTGAATACAATCTGTTCGGCCATGTCCCCAACCCAGCGACGGAGCCGAATCTAGTGTCCGATCACGCGGTGCTCAAAACATTTTTCCAACGGCTCGAGAACTCGGTATTTATGGCGTACTACATGCTTTCATTGCGGTACGTGGAATGGACGTTGAAGAGAAATGATCCGCAGTCGTTCAACACGGTTGGTCCCGTGAAACCTTCGCTCGTGTTTACTAACACGCATCACCTAACCGAAAAGGCCCGGCCGTTACCGCCGAATCTCGTGCCAATCGGCGGCATACATTTAAAATTAAAACCGCCAACGGGTATACCTGAAGCCAGTGGCGTGTTGGCCGTGATTTTGAGGGGCAATTGCCCGATAATTTTAAGTGGTGGGTGGGTGGGTGCCTGGTGGTTAAGTACTGGAGTCTGTGGAGAAATTGTAGTACAAGATTAATTTCATCAGAATATGTCATATGATATTACATAAGAATAATAAAATTAATAATAAGTATTCTAGGAAAAGCCATCAGCCCAGAATACTGTACATTTATTCATGGGTAATGATAATGATCAATGCCTAAGAGTCGAGGGGTGGTGGTAGGTCATTAAAAAAAAATGAATTGCCCGATAAAATATTTCACTTCGCCACGCCACTGCCTGAAGTGAGTACGACACTCGAATGGAAATTGCGGAGTGCCTCACGAAGATTGTTAATAACCCTTTGTTATATGTCCGGATATAACAAAGATAATCAAACTGCTTTTTTTCTTTTTCCATATACATTATTTCCGGGGAAAAGAACTATGCATATTTATACTTGAATTGTTTTAGATTCCGAGCGTTGCGAGGGTGCTATTGGTTTTACCAAAATTTTTATTTCTCTTTTTCTTTGTTCTTGTTTGTGGACACGTTTTATTCTTAGTAAACTTGCTCCGATTTTTACGTGTAGCAATTTTTTTTAAAAGCTCAAGTTGTTTAGATGGAATACTTTAGAAAGGTCATTTTTTGATTTTCGACGCCATTTTTTAAATAAAAGCATTTAAGTGGGAAAAAACTTAGAAAAACGTACAATTTCACGATTTCATTATGTTTTAAAAACACGGACTACGTTTTCTATTAGAAAAAATGATTTAATCGAAAAATCACAAAACGCCTTTTTTGTTGCCTTTTTGATTTACTTTCTAACTCTATTATCGGCAAAACTTTTTAGCCACTTTTGAGCTTTTAAGGAATTTTAATTTTTGGGAGTTTTTTGCTGTAATTCGGTTATAAATACACGTACGATACTTAAAACTTGGTAATAATATTTATATTGGACTTATCTAGGCGTGATAAAATTCCTTTTTTTATGTTTTGGTGAACAAAGTTGAAAATAAACTTTATTTACTATTTTTGAAAAATATGAAGGTAGCCATCGTATAAAGTTTATTCTTCCGACATATTTGGACGTTTCAACTTTTTATTTTTGTTAAATTAGTGTTTGTTTCTAATTTTTGAAAGTCCAGAAAAAAAAGTGTACCTACAATTCATCATTAGCCTTAGCCCATAATTATATCATTTCGATTATCACAATTTCACGATTCTTATTTGCTTCATTCCCTCCCATTGAACATTCCTGGGCACGCCACTGCCGGTTACCTATAATTATGCAGCAGGCTGTAATCGCATTTGCTAATTTACTATTATTATAATTATGGTTATTAAGTATACTTTTAGATCCTGAGTGAAATGTATCGGTTTTACAATGATGTTTATTTATTTTTTTATCTTATTATCTGTAGACAACTTTTCTACCAGAAATTTTGGCTCCGATTTACAAGTGTAGCACTTTTTCTGAAAATAAATCTCAAAAATTATAAACAAACACTAATTTAACAAAAATAAAAAGTTGAAACATCCAAATATGTCAGAAGATTAAACTCTATATGATGGCCATCTACATATTTTTCAAAAAATTATAAAAGGTAATTTTTTAAATTTTTTTACCAAAAAAAGATTTAATTCAAAGATCAATATTTGTGGTCCTCATTCATGTGAGTAATATAAAAAAAAAAAAAAAAAATAGAAGTTTACTATTTTTATGATATTTGGAGATATTCAAGGAGTATATCTTTATGGGACAGCCTGTGTATATTTTTTTTTTACCTAGACTCCACTAATTTATTAGTGAACCAAGACATTGATTTTTAAACATTTTATTATCATCAAATACCAGCTATGTTGAATGTTTGATATGTAATAACTAACAAAAATATTATATAAAAATCCGAACAACTTCACATGATGGGTAGGCTACTGTTGTATTAGGTGGGAAGTTGAGAAGGTAGGATATCGACGGAAATTGAATGTATATCTGTACTTAACGATTAACTATTGCTAACGAAAAAACGATTCTGAACGGAATTCAGTTGATAGTGTTGCTTTATCAACAATATATAGTTTATTATGTCATATTATGGTAAAATAATTACATATGCATCAATATTATACCTATTTTCCTGTTCTCTCAGTTTTCCCAAGTTTTTTCCTGGGTTTTCCAACTTCTGGGAAAATCACAAAATGACCTATTTAAAGTACTACCCAAGTCAGATTTCCTTTCAGAAAAAATGCTTTAATTTTAAATTGGAGCAAAATTACTGGTATTAAAGTTATTCACAGTAACATCCTTAAAGGACCTCCCTAGTTAAATTTCTAAAATAGGGCCACCCAATCAGAGTAGTTACTAATATTATCTTCTTTTTTTTTTATTATATAATTAAGAATCAAATTTATTATTATTACGAAGGTGTCGTTTAGAATGATATTACTATTGTCAAGTCTTAAGATGTCTACATTTTAAATAGTAAAATATTATATGGCTAAATATATTTTACATTTTAAAATATTTAGAACACATATTTTGTTCTCCGTGAGGCATATATAGTAAATGCATTTTTTCATCCAATATCTTTGTAGATAAAAAATGATAAAATATCAAAAATCTGAAAATAACTAATTAAACAAGGTTAATGTTTAACAATATTATTTTTAAAGGAAATTGTCTTTTAAATATTATAGGTACTACATAATATAATTGTGTTGATTATCATAGGCATTGTGTAATACAATTATTAAAGTACTTCATTGGAAAACTAAGTATTTTCGATAATTTCATACATTTATATAGGTAACTAATTCTATGAATAAACATAGTTTGACCTTAACGAGCGACACACTAATAATGGTTTACTTCAATGAAACAAATAATGTTTGCAGAATAACCGGCAAATAAAATTAATTAACGGTTTTCGTATTTTTTTCGAGATCTAATAATATTAGCCAATCGCCGAGTTCTCATTGTTCCGTGTATACAATACAATAATATTATGTTATGTGCGTGACCGATTTTGAAGTTAATCATTGTGATTTTTGTCTTATAACCGACGATTAAAGTCTCAAAATGACGATGGGAAATAACACTAAGTCCATGAAGTTTCCGAACGTTATGATATTATAACAGTCGACATTTGCCGTTGATACGAGAATTTTACGCCTAGGACACTTCATCGCTATGCACACCCAAAAAATAATGTCACGCGCATTTTGTGCGCTGAACACGGTGGTGGCCATATCGACGATACTCCTTTGTGGGTTTTCCGGCCATTGGACGGTGCAGCCGGCCGACGCACTAAGGATATTAGCCGTGGAATCGATCGCGGGCAAGAGTCACTGGAATTTCATGAGAAACGTTCTCCGTGCGCTGACAGACAGCGGCCACGCCGTAACGGTGTTTACACCTTTCACGGACGGCGATCGGGCGAATTACACGGAAGTGGACATGTCTAAAGTGATCCCGATTAAACTCAACATGGACCTCACGGAGATTTTCGAGAAATTCACGACGATCACGTCCATCGTACCGTTCAGCGTTCAACTAAGCAGAATGTTGTGCGACATTATATTCGCGCACGACCGGATGAAGGCGATCCTACAACGGGACAACGGCACGGACGAATTCGACGTGATAATCATAGAGCCATTAGGGTCGGATTGCGTTTCGTACGTGGCCACCCGGTTAGACTTACCGATGATATACGTAATCCCGTCGCCAATGATCACGCATCACGAGCGTGCTTTTCTGGGACACGTACCAAACCCGGCTACTAGGTCCCATTTGTTAGCCGGGCACGCTGTTCCCGGGTCTTTCACGAAACGGTTCACCAACACAGTCATGTTGGCATATACCATGTTCTCGGTCGCGTACAACGACTGGTCACTCGGCCGCGCTAATCCGAAACCGTACGATGACAGGCTGTCCGTCCGACCGTCAGCATTGTTTATTAACAGCCATTACATAACCGAACCGCCGAGTCCCACGGCGCCGAACGTTGTGCACGTCGGTGGCTTGCATCTGGAGCAACCCAAGGGTATCCCGCACGTACGTAAAAGACACTCGGTGCAGCGCAGTCGCATCAAAGATCACCAGGCCAGGCCGAACGCAACCCCAGTCTATATCTATATACAATGTGACATGGAAATGATAGATAAATAAATAAATGATATCAATTATAGATTCCAATATTATTTGAAAAATCGAGATGGGACCCGAGTGTAGTCAGTGTTTGGCTATATTTTCGTATGATTTAGGGTTGGGGGTCGTAGAATCATTTTAATTCAACCATGAAACGTTATTCGTGATTCATTTTTAAATAAACTTACAAAATCTGCAGTAGAAACCTCTTTTTGTATTAATATTGGATTAATCAATGAAAAAAAAAAATTTAAGTAGGTAGGTAGTTTGGTATAAAACATAATAATAAACAAATAAAACAAAGTTTTGTTAAAACACGCCGTGTTCGACACTATTTTTGTAATAATTTTCATCCCATTTTATTAAATTTCTAATTAATGACAATTTAACTAAACATTTTAACTGTGTAGCTATAATGCCCATTACCTTTAGACAAAAAGAAATATACGTAATAGCTATATGTATCTTTTTAGGATATATTAGAATTCATCGAGGCATCTCCGAATGGAGTTATTTACTTTACTTTTGGTTCAGTGGTGAAAATGTCAACGCTGCCTGGTTATATGCAAAACGCGTTCAAAGAAGCGTTGGCTCAAGTTCCTCAAAGAGTTTTATGGAAATACGAAGGAGAAATGGAGAACGTACCGAAAAACGTGATGATAAAAAAATGGTTTCCTCAACGTGATATACTTTGTAAGATTTTCAAGTCAAATACTATCTATGCATATTATTAATTATACAGGTCACTGTAATTTCAGGTATTGTTTTAAATTAAGAATTGCGAACCTTTTTAATTTCAGTGCATCCCAAAGTAAAATTATTCATCAGTCATGGAGGTATCTCTGGAGTATACGAAACCGTAGATGCCGGTGTTCCAGTGCTCGGATTTCCTTTGTTTTATGATCAGCACAGAAACATTGCCAATTTGGTTGACGCTGGAATGGCGATTTCTATGGAATTATCGTCTGTATCCAAAGACACGCTTTTAAATGCAATTTTAGAACTCGTCAATAACGAAAAGTATGATATTTATTTATTAATATTTAAACCTAAAATGTAAAAACTAATAAGCGTATATATTTATATGTCTTTAAACGTTTTAGATATTTGAAAAACGCTAAAATCACTTCTGAGCGATTTCAGGACCGCCCGTTGTCACCGGAAAAATCGATTGTTTATTGGACTGAATACATTCATCGCCATAAAGGAGCTCCACACTTGAAATCACACGCTCTAACTCTGACGTGGTATCAATATTATCTTTTGGACGTAATTGCTGCAATATTAGTTTGCATTTTCATAACATTATCCACGATTTATTTCATTATTAAAATAATTTTTAAATTCGTTTTATTATATTTACAAAATGTTAAATCGAAATCTGAGTAGATTATAATTAACGTTCATCACGAGAGCTTTTTTTTTTTAATTTAAAAAATAAAACGAATGAAATCTATCGATGTTATAAGTTATGTTTTATAAATTTAGTACCTATATATGTATATAATATAATATTATGTTTTACGATGTGTTTAATATTTATCAAATTACAAAATGTATAAAATATCACACAAAAAATTGATACATTTCTATTATAAGTATATAATACCCTCAGAAGGGCGATGCTACGAGTTTAGCAAGCTCCTGCTGATGGAAAGTCCAGATGGGCGTTTCCAGTAGATTTATGGTATTGTTTTCTGTACGGTAGAGAAATTCACCTTATAGTCAACAGTGCTATCCTCCCTGTGGGAGGGGATAAGAATACTCCTACAATATCTTTACCTCTAGCAAGAGATGACAAATGAGGTTGCGTCAAGCCGATGTACAGTTTCTGTTAAACAGGATGAGGATTCCTAAACAAAACATTACAATATTATAATGTTCCTTTATAAATACCTGCAGCAAGGTGCAGCAGTGTATATTTTGTAGCTTGGTAAGGGCCAAAAATAAAAAAACTTATAATTAACAATATAGATTTTTTTTTTTATAGATGTTCGTGTTAAACAATAAATATTGTCTTAACAAAAAAATTAAATCCAACTATCGTTTGGTATCAGAAGTTCGATATCAGAAAATTCGTTTCAATAAATACCTGTTTATCACGTAGTAGCTCTTTCCATAGTATATAATCTAAGGGTACTTAGAAGATAAGGTCGAACAACTTCATATCCTCCAACCTATTACAATATTTCCATTTAATGAGGAGAAAATATTTCCCGTGTTGCCGCAAAAGCACTGCTGGATAGATTTATTTTGAGGTTTTTTGAGTATTTTTTCATCATGCTGCATTTTGTCAGCTGTATTTTGAGCACAAGAACTCAAAAACCAAAAAACGAAAACAGCAATATTACATTTTATCGGTACCTACCTAATTACTTGCATTAGTTCAGATATTTATGTAATTATGTTCTACACCTATTCCTCAAATCACTATTTCTGAAAAACTTAAAATAGGAATTGTCAAGTTGAAGATGTTAAAGATGTTGATTTATGTTAAAGAAAATCTAAGTATTTCATCATTTAAATTAAATGTTCCATTGCATTTAATTATTTCAGTCATAGTGTACCGTATAGAAAATAATTAGAAATCTGAACCCTTATTGAGTAGACAACGCAATTAATTTTTAAGCGAAGTGTTTACACTTTTATATAATATATATATATATATTTTTTAATTTTTATTACTCAAATAACCGCTTTGTTCATGGTAGTATATAATCCATAAATATTGTATAATGCACATAGCATAATAAATTATTTTTCGTATTATGGTCACACTGAAAATACCCCGTTTTCACGTCATGTTGAAATGAATTTTCCTCACTAAGCGGAATGCTGATAAGGTATAATTGTTCGGCCTTATCTTCTAAAACCGTGGGTAGAGTAAGAGTATTCGCTCTATGGGTATAGTACATTCTTTTTGATAACAGTGAACCTGATAAGAACAAAAACAAAATTCAAATCAATTGTTAAATTTTCTGACAACTAGCCTTGAATTAAATGGTAAATTAAACCATAAATAAAAAGATTTATTTTTATTATCTATGAATTGAACATTCACTTCTCATCACCAAATATTAACAATCTAGATTATTGTATAATATTGTGTGTATTCTCTTTGAAATTGTAGGTTATGTTATCATCACAAACAATGGTCAATACTCAACAATGATAATACAAAACATAAACCAAAGCCGCTTTTGCAAGTCATACGGTTAAATAACTTTTCACATTTTATATTTCCGTTTTAAGTTAAATTAATTTAGTAGTTTTTTGATTTGGTTAATCCAATTATTAAGTCTTTGATCAGGTAAGAATTAATTATACGTTTATTTGTATACAAAAAATGTTTAAATTGAACTTTACAGATATTTCTTGAAACAACAATACAAAATAAATTTTATGTATTATTAAATTTTTATTTTTGTTATTTGTACACAACTACTAAATTTTATCTTTTAAACCAATGTTTTATTGTAAACTAATATTTTTTACATTTTCTATACTATTTAAGAGTATGAGTTATAAATTATGGGGTGAATATGAAATATGCAATTTTTACTATGTAAAATAGCTTTAGAGTTTCACAGATAATTGCATTAATTTTGTAGAATTAAACATTATGGACAATATAGGAAATAAATTTCCATAACTTTTGAATTATTTTAATATCTTTATGTAAATATAATAAATTGCCTAAATCGCTTAAATAATTTTATATGTTATCAAAAACTTAATTGCTCTAGGTAACTTACTAACATTGTATCTTCATTTTTTTTTTTTCAATATGTGTGTTTTTTCTTGTACTTAAAGAACCTAAAAAAATAAGAGTCTGATGAACTTTATTTAGAAGTTATGGTGGAAAACTTCATGAAGTTCTGATTTTCCGTTTCGTGTATTTCTTTGTGAGAATTAAACTTTTTCAATTTTCTTTTCTCCAAAATGAGTGATTTTTATCGCCTAATTCATTGGTATAATTAAAACTTAACTATAATACTTATTTTTACACTTATTATACATAAATCTTAAAACATATCATTTTTGACATTTTTCCAGAATAAGTCTATCTGGCTTAGATTTAGAGTTACAAACGTTCAAACCCTAATGGCCCCATTACGTTTCTAGGTGCACTTAAAATGTTTTTCACTTTTCTCTAATACCCGACGTGGTTTTACACAACAAATTTAAGGTTATTTTTGATTAAAACAGTTTGAGCGAGCGAGTAACCTCGCCAGGTCTCTAGGTGCATTCAAAGTGCTATTTTTTTAAGGTTTATGTACAATTACATCAAAAGTAAGTATGATAGGTAAGTTTTTGATTTTACCAATGGATTAAAAATTAAAAATCACACATTTTGGAAAAAAATAAAATTTGAAAATGTTAAATTCCCACTAAGAAATATGCTAAATGGAAAACCTGAAGTTTATAAAGTTTCCCTCATAACTTCAAAACAAAGTTCTTTTTTTATTTTTGATTCTTAATGTACAGCCTAAAACACACGTTTTGGAAAAAAAAAAAAATTGAAAAATGAGCTTGTGTCATACACTAGATTTGTTCCATTTTTTTAGTTTGACAAAATTATATTTATTATTATATTATCTTCTTTTCAAATAACTTGAAGTAGCGCATTGTAGTAAATTGTTAGCTTTTTATAACATAATTTGATCTTTAAGTAGGTAATAATAAAATATTAAAGCTTTAGTACTAAAATAATTAATAACAATTTTTTAAGAGTCTTAATGACAAAGACATCACCTTAATCTTCCAAAAATTTCAGTGGCAATTGTCTCTCAAATAAACTGCCACACCATTAATAATAATTAAAAATTAATATTTACTTATGATTACAGGAATTAGTTCAACTTTAAAATCATGTTCTTAACACGTTCAGAATACGACAGAGGAGTAAATACATTTTCCCCAGAAGGCAGACTGTTTCAGGTATACACAAAATAATTATGTTACTTAATTACATAATTATTTTTCATGTTTACTAATAATATAATATCTTATTTATTTATTTATTTATTTATTTAGGTGGAATATGCAATCGAAGCCATTAAATTGGGTTCAACAGCTATTGGTATCTGTACATCTGAAGGAGTCGTATTAGGTGTAGAAAAACGAATCACTTCGCCATTAATGATTACGAGCAAGATTGAAAAGATTTTCGAAGTTGACAAGCACATTGGTTTGTTATAAATAATTTTAATTAAATTGCTACCCAACATAATCCAAATATCAGATAATATTTTCTTTATTTTCTGTAACTTTCAGGTTGTGCAGTTAGTGGATTGATTGCAGATTCACGTACAATGGTTGAAAGAGCCAGAGCTGAATCACAAAACCATTGGTTTACATACAATGAACAAATGAGTGTTGAATCTGTTGCACAAGCTGTATCTAACTTAGCCATACAATTTAGTGGTGATTATGATAGTAAAGAGCCTGCTATGGTAATTCATAAATAAATGAACAATAATAGTATCATATAATCATATAGACTAGTAAAATCAATTGATTCAATACATTTCCAGAGTCGTCCATTTGGTGTTGCAATTATGTTTGCAGGCATCGACAAAAATGGTCCACAATTATTCCATTTGGATCCTTCAGGTACATATGTTCAGTATAACGCTAAAGCCATTGGATCTGGTAGTGAAGGTGCACAGCAGACATTGCAAGAAAAATATCACAAAGTAATAATTAGTATTTTTCTTTCTAAAGTTATAGTCATACATTATTGCATACCATGTTGTATATTTTTAATATTAATTCTCTTAGTCGATGGGATTAAACGAAGCTATAAATGTTATTTTGAATATACTTAAACAAGTAATGGAAGATAAGCTGAGCCCTACCAACATAGAAATTGTTACTGTCACACCTGATAAACTATATCATATGTTAGATAAAAATGAAATTCAAGAGGTTTGTATATTAAAGTGACATAAATAATGTTCCTTTATTATATTTTTATTAACTACATATAAAATTATTATTTTAGGTTTTTGATAAGCTTGTACCTTTCCCAGATGAAACCAAGGCTAGTTCATCATCTGCTGTTTCTGGTTCCGTGGCTTGAAACCATTTGGTTATAACTTAATATACCTAAGTTTTACAATTTGATTGGTGTTTGTCACTTACGAAGAAGAATTATATACTTGCTATTTTTCATGAATTCAATTTATTTTTAATTTTATAATATCATATTATTAATATTTCATTGCATATTTTATTGTTTTATCAAAGTATAGGTTGACAAGATTAAAAACAAATTCTTTATTAAAATCAAAAATTATCTGTATAACAAAATAAAATATCAAGCATCTAAATGTAAATGCCAGAAAAACTATATAATAAATACTCTGTGTTACTATACAATGTACACACGTAAATTGGTTTATGACCTAATCATATAACTACACAATTCATTAGCGTCAAACACTATTTATGTGGTGTACCTTAACATTTTTATATTCTATAAAGATTTCCAAACTTCATACTACTACCAATTTTAGATTTTTTTCAACTCTATATACTAATAACACTTTTTTTTTTGTTTATATGTTCATTAATAAAAACATACTGATTTAAAGAAAAAAAAAAACAATATTTTAACTGTAATATCATATGAGGTATATTAAAAAAATAACAAGACTCAATAAAAGTGGTTTATTTTTAAAATCAGTTTTCTTCAAAATACTGTTGCATACGTGACTGCCATTTTTAAAAATTGCTGCCAATCACTCTCAGTCAGCACTTAATTTTTACATTATCAACTGTTTAATAAGTGGTTTTTTCAATGAAGTTTTTATTTTTAAGAAGTTACCAAGAGGTAGGGTCTGGCAAGTAGAAGAAGTGTTGAAGTATAGACTGTTAAAAGATTGCTCAATTGAAATTGTACTGTGAGCTGGAGTATTGTCTTGGTGAAGAACCCCAGGTCATTCTTTCACACATCTGGTCACTTCTTTCTAATACGTTCACTAAATTAATTAATACCTCTAAAGTAATATTGATTGACTATTCAACTTAAATAGGTGTGTCATAATTTTATTTCAATAATCACTATGTAGATATGTTGATTGTTTGAATTTTATTGAGAAAGTATCATTTACTTTTTGTATTGCACCTAGTTTACTTAATTAGCTCTTTAAAATGATAAATAGGTGTGACTTGTCAAATAATAATAAAAAATACATGATTCTTTATTTTATATTTAATGAGAAAGGTTTTATAGTTTATATTTTTCTTGACCATTCAATTGATCTCCATTTCAACATTTGTTAAAGACTCAGAGAATTTGACAATTGCAATTTCCTTAGTAAATTTGTTTCAATAGCAACCATTTTCAAAAAGCCCCACTTCAGAATAATGTAATGCATCTTAACAGCTTTAGTTGAATGTGTTTCAAAGTTTTTAAGTTTCTTAAATAAACAATCAGAAATTTATTAAAATTTATTTTTATTGAACCGTTTTCAAATATTTCAATTAATTATTCATCACCTCTTTTTTATAATCCATTCATCATATTCTGTTTTTGAAAAGGGTTTGAAATCCAGATAATTTGTTGATAGTTCTTTAACCTCTTTAGAAAATTAAAAATTTGTTTTCAATATATTCAAATGTTTAAAGATAACTTTTTAGTATATGAGTATCAACAATGATTACTTTTATTTTGTAAGATACAAATATAAATTATTGATAACAAAGTATAGTAAACAATGAAAGATATTAACATATAATAAATGAATAACTATTGTAAACATAAAAATTAATAATAACCGCAAATAATCATATATTAAATTAAATTAAATCTAAAACTATTATTGTTTGCATATTATCTAAAGGACTAGTAATCACAGTCTTATTTGTAAGTTTGTCAGCCATCTCAAGACATCTAGGTCGCATTATGCAGTTGTTCGATATCACCAATAAATTTAGTTGTGCACTTATCATTGTTTAATTGACTGTACTTTGCCACAAGTACAGAGAGGAGATTCAATCATACCCCATTTATTCAATAACTCGTTGCACCTATCTTGTATTGTTCTGATTATGTTTAAAGAAATCAACCGTACTCATGGATAATCAAATCCTGGTTCCTTGACCACTGGATTTGTAATGTGGGTAGAATTATGACATTGAATTTAACCATTTAACTAAATAAAGCCATTATCTATTTTTATCTCAACTTCAAGAATGAAACTGAAAAAAGTTTCAAATCACCCAAACACAACTAAGTTAATATGTATATAATATATATATTTTTATATATGTATACTTAATATAAAAAAATATAGGTGCATATTATATTTCACAAACTTTAAGCAACACATCAAAAATTTTATTGTGATGAAGTTTGATAGCTTCTGTACTACAGTATAGTTAGAGTAAGCTGTATATCTTCAGTTAAAACTGTACAATTTTATTAGTGCAGATAAACGCAGTCGAATTTGTATTTATTGTAGTTTTTTGTTGCATTATTGTGACACTGGAGTCAACTTTTTTAGTTTTAGAATTATTTAAAATTAAATTATTACCAAAATGTAACAATAAATATCCTTATAAATTGTGGAAACAAAACTACATGAATTACGATTCAGAGTTGTGTCTTTAGAATACAAAACAAAAAGAATATCATGATTAAACCAATAAAGATGCGACTTATGAAAAATTGAACTGGATTTATTCTGGTTAATTAATTAAAGGTTGGTATTAATCTACCGAAGCAAATATATTATAACTGTAGTTGTTTAGATACCAATGATATTGTTGATTCTATAAAGTATAAACAATATATTGAACAACTAAGGTCATAAGATGTCTGTGGTGCATAAAAAATACCCAACTTTGAAATTTCAACTATATAATTATCAAACTGCATTCATCAAGATACTTAAATACATTTGCTAGGTTTAGTATATTTTTAATGAAATCTGAAAAAATAATAGATGTTTAACAATTAACAATTAATTCTACCACTTAATTATATAGTAAATAAAAACTATGTAATAATTAAAGCTCATGTTTTCATGCACTAAAAACTATTGAAATATGCATAAAACAATTATGTTTCAAATCATTGAAATATACCTTTGTTTTTATTATTAATTTACTAATTATATTTAAAAAAAATACATAAAACTACAATTTTCTGTATAATTATATACTTGTTAAATATAAAAAACTGTTAATTGAATTCACTTTTTAAATTCACAATTAAAATTAAAAATATTTGAGTTTATTTTGAATTAAAAATACAATTTTTAGCAAAATATTTATATTTCATTTATTTAAATATTACACAAACATTTTTTTTTTATAATATAAAATATAGAAAATTTTTTCTAATTAAAAAAAAAAAAAAAAAATTAAATAAGTGTAAATAAATATACTATTTATATATATAAATAATACACAATTGGACGGACTTTCTAGTTATTTCATTCTTTACAAAACATTTATTTTCATAAGTACAAAGAGAATATATTGAGATTCTTAATGATACTAATAAACTGGACTATTTTTTTATAAAACAAAAAAAATATAAAATAAATATATAGTTTAAAAAATATACCCTGCACAGTAAAACAATAATAACATTTTATAAAACATTGGTACCCTTGAGCATAATACAAAATATATGTATTCATACTTACCAGTGAAAATAATTTCACTTCCATTTGTCTAGTATACATTAAAACTAATAATAGAAATAATATACTTTGTTTAACTTATAGTTTAAAGAGTATGGTGTACCATAATTTTATCTAAAAATACTCAAAGTTGGAAATTATGAATACTAGATGAAGCATATTCTGGCCTATACATAGCACCTTTATGGGAACGGCCAGTCCTGTTGGAAAATTCGGAAAACCGATCTTGGTCCATCATTGGTTGTGGCATTAACATGACTGGTTGTAAATTTAATGATTTTCTAGACCCAGCCATAGACGCACTACTATCACCCAAGTAACCGCTATTTATTTCACCTAAATAATAATGTATAACTTTTAATAAAACTTATTTTCTGAAATATGATCGAATTACCTTTACGCAAAGTGGAAGCATATAATGGTTCGGGCTGAAGTTTAATGTGTCTGGTGGCTAGAATAAATGCCAAAACTGATAGGATAAATGCGTCTAGACCAGCAATGACCGCTAATAAATATGCCCACCGGAAACTACAATCACCGAGATTATAGCTTCTAGCTTCTGGACCACATGTCCTCTGAATGTGCGGTGAATCCCATCCTATTGGAAAAACTACAATGGCTGTGATCATACATCCAGCTAAACATTAAATAAATATTATGTTAACAAGATGTTCAATACGAGGCATAATTGTTACAGATTATATAAATATACCAGAAAATATATGCAGCCATCCGCATATGAGATATACGGTGGTAGATTGCAAGCAGAAGAACAACAACAACATTACCACAATCACTATGGCAATGCTTACAGACACACCACCGAAAATAGTCGCCACTCTTATGGCTGTGCTCGGTATGCTGGTCAGATCATCCAGTTTTCCCTGACAATCTTCAACAGCAGAGGACACACCATTTCCGAAATAACAGCTGTTCCATAGGCCGAAACGTGCAGGGTTTTCGGATGTCGTCGTATCGCCAATCCATTCTGGAGTGATGAAAGCCACCGCGACGATTATTGCATAGCAAACAGTGAAAATTCCCCAGAGTACGCCTACCGCTTTGGCGTTACGAACGTAGTTTGTAGCATACAGCTGCGACGAATCCACATATTCGATTTTGGAACCCATTTTAGCAAAAAGATTCCGCTCGGATCGATTTATTGTGTCAAAGTTAATAGGTAAATATAACTATCACGAGCACGGCATACCTACAACTGGTATGTTTAGTACTCACCGTTACGCAAAAACGATTCCAGTCGGTAGAAATTGAATGGTTCGCCAAACGTCTCGTTTCGGTAATTTCGATATGTGAATAATGGGCAGCAACTTTTCACACTCAAAGAGGAGACCCACTTATTTTTGCATAAATAGCTTACTAATCAGCAACTAAAATATCTAGCAAATCTCAGTTCGTGATACTAATATTTATGAATGTCTATGAAGATTACAGGTATGATATATAAATATTATACTCCTATATATGTGGTGAAAATAGCTCCGTCATAGTTAGCTCCTATACATTGATAAGAAATTGGGTATTACCAAGTAGTTTAAGTTGCGTTCGCCAGAATAATAAGGAGTAATTTAATGTCGATTAGCTATTTTACCAAATATACCAATTTTGGTATATTATTAAACTATAATATTTAGTCATGCAATTTAGTTTTATTACAGTAAAAAAAAAATATTACATTGAAACAACTTGTATGGACCAGTAACTAGATTTGTTCTACATAATTTTTTACTAAACAATTTTCGTAAAAATTGGATATTAAAATTCTTATGAAAAAAAAACTGACTACATTAAATTAAAATTTTTTGTTTTGAACGCGAAGTATAACTTATAATTAAACTCTTGTTCAATTTTCAATAATTCCAAACAATTTTTTTACTGAGTACCAACTACCAACTTAATAAAAATTATTCATAAAATTAAAGTGTCTATATAGTAATAGCTAAAATATGACTAAAATATTTTTATAGTTTTTCCACGTAAAAATAGGCAAGTATAAATTTTCTGCCACATTTCAAGTCTTTATGAATATTTTAAACTGAATTACAACAAATAACATACTGAAAATAATAAAAAGCATTATTTTTGTTAATATCCCATTTTTCTTACGTGTTTTTCCAGATTTTATGAAAACCGCTTGGAAAATCAAAAAATAACCTTCTAAAGTACTATATAAACAAAATTTTTTTTCAGAAATGATACACATACCATATCGGGGCAAGATTTCTAGATTCAAGATTTGATAGACATTTTTGTCGTAATATAAAAATAATAATAATAACAAACATCTTAGTTTAATGATTATTAAATGTCATTTTTGACTTTCCCGGAAGTTTTTCCACTAAATGGAAAAAATACAGGGAATCCGGAAGTATGGGTAAATAGGTACAATATTAAAGAAATATTATTAAAGAAATTGTTTAAAGAATGTGTAGTTATTTTACCAAAATATAGCATGTATAATGTTGACAAAGCAACACTATCAATCGAACTCTGCTCTGAATATCGTTTTTTCGTAAGCAATGGTTAATCGTTGCGTACAGATATACATTCAATTCCCGTCTATATCCTACCTTTCCAACTTTCCATTTTTATTAGTGGCTGCACAACCTGCACCCGTCACCATTGTCCTAGGGCAGATTTTTACTGAAACAGGCAAAGCCAGGCGGGACAACTATATATTAAGATCCCTTGCCTTTGATTAGGTTTTGTTATATTTAATACTTTTAGTTATGGCCTTAGTAAAATGCAACACACCCATTGTGATTTGTTGCACATGTGATGTTTTCCAAATAGGTAGTTGAAATTTTATAGTATGACAACACTTGTATTAGCTCAGTTAAACACCCTACTTGATGATCACAGACGCAGTTCTAGGACCTTTGTATGAAGATAACATTAGATAAGGCTTGATTTTCTAATACTATCAATTGTTTTAACAGACTTCAAAAAAGGAGGTTCTCGATTTGTTTGCATGTATGTATGTATGTATATTTGTACATAACTTTGTTCAATTCAATATTGTTCTACAATGTTTATTTATTTATATTTTTATCTGTGAATAACTTTTTTATCAGAAATTTTGCTCCGATTTTCAAGTGTATCACTTTATCTGAAAGGAAATTGGCCTGGGTTTGTACTTTAGATAGGACATTTTTTGATATTCTTAGGGGTTTTCATAATAGATGTGGAAAACCGGGAAAATGTACGAAACATTATTTTCAAATCGTTAATATTATGGCATTTAAAAACACATATAACTGAACTCTGCTCAGAATCATTCAATAATGATTAATCTTTGCGTACATATATATTTATATATATATTCAATTTTTCTTCTACCTCCCCAAATTTTTGGGCCCAACAGCGGCCACCCAAAAGTAGTAATAGTGACACTATTCAAAAATTTAACTTAATCCTAGAGTTAATAAACTCTTGTCCTTTTATTTGTTTCAGTATTTAAATTATAAAATAATGAAAATACCTAAAATGAATATTACATTAACAAACAAATTAATGAAATAATATAATTTTAATTAAAAATGTGTTATTACAAGTTCATCTAAATTTTGTACATTTAAAACAACAGCCTAGAAAAATAATTTTTACGGTTAAATATTAAACTCAGAAAATTTAACGAGTTGTTTAATTGGTACACGTCTAAAATAAATCGTTGAGCCGCGGTTCAACTGATCAAACCTATCTAAATATTTCATGCAGTCTAACCAATTTCCAAACACAGGCACATCCGGTGTCATACCAGCAGCTAATCTGTTAATACAAATAATATTGTTATGCAATTAATTGAATTATCTAAATAAAAAATAAAATATCAACATTCCCATAGTTACTGATTGCTGTTTAAGCAGTTACAACATTAAATGGATATGTTTCAGCCCTAGCTAAAATCTGAAACAAAAGTGCATAATATATGTATATAAACATATATATTGAAATGATATTAGTTAATCAATAAGTTAACAATTTAAGTCTTTAATTTAATTTTTTTAAGAAATATCTATTTAATTTGTTTAGAAATGATTATAATTTCATACAACTATTTCTCAAAACTAAAATAGTAATATGTTAAACTTAGCATTATTAAATTAATTAAAATACAGATATTTATTTTACCGAAGTAATTAAATCAATTATGTTCAAAGTCATGGATGTAGGATAAATTAAAAAATAGGTAAACGCTTGTTTTGCCACATTAATCATAAACATAGTGGTGAAACCAGCCACGAGACGTGGAATAATACTAGGATAAAGTCTATTAAATCCTTCCTCTTGGTATACAAGTAAAATTGATTGAAATACTGACCAAATGTTTTCAAAATATACATAGTTTATATTATATTTACAAGTATAAATAAATGAGTTATTAAAAATATATTGTGCTAATTTTATTTTAAATTTTTACGCATTATATATTCTACCAAAACTTAGTGTAATGTAGTATTTTTTTTTTTAAATCAAATTTCGACGAAAATCGGTAATATTACACGGCCTTTCAAAACATGTGAATCGAACTTCGCTCCGAATCTTTATTCGTTAGCTATCGTTTATCGTTATTTATAATATATCATTGATTACATAGTTGCATCCGAGTTCCGTTCCAAACGTAAAATTTGAATTTGAGAATATACTTGTTCTCTCCCGAGTTTTTAAATATGCTATACTAATTCCGATCCATGTAAATCATTTAGTTATACGAGTTCCGTCCCTTTTTGAATTTTCTACATTATATTTATGTATAGTATAACATGTACGGCTATGATATCAATTCCACAGAAATAAAAGATAATATTGCTTTTGGTTATCGCATTAAATAATTTAATTTAATAATACTGTATTATTTAGAAACAAATATAATATTATTTAATTTTTAAACTTTTTAGTCATTATCTGTGCGTCTGGATATATTATTTTTTATTGTATTGATATATAAATTTGTGATTTAGTTAACCTATCCGGGACGGAATTGGTATAAAAGAAGGTTATTGAAACGAAACTCAGATGCAGCCGATTATATATACTATACATAATCAATACTTATAGGTATAAATTAAATAACTTTATGTGTCCTACCATCCTGATATTTCTTACCTACCATAGTGTCGGACGCGTCCCCAGTATCAGCTGTTTTTTTTTTTTTTTTTTTTTTTAGTTTTGCAGTTTAATATTTTTTGGCCCAACAAAATTGTTCAATTATTTAACATTATATAGGTTGTGTTTCGTGGTCGAAAAAAATGTTGAACGTAACGTAACCCCGGCATATTATGGATAAATTATAACTACTGGTTTCCCCCGATTGCGGTTACAATACGATTGTAATTGTTGTAATAATCGACCACACGAAAGAGATTTTTTTTTTTTTTTTTTCAAAATTTTAATTTATCAATTAACGAGTATATAATTATTGTAAATACACGAACGGACGGTGGGAAAATTTCGCAATCTCAAGAGACAAATAACGCGATCCTGGTACAGGTATGTTATGTACATAACTATATGTACACAATGCACTAGCAACTGTATAATGACACGGTCGCAAATACAAATTATTATTATCGCTCGTGTACATATATAGGTACCGTAATAATTTCGGTTATGCCGTTTTTGCCACCGTCGCCGAGCGCCGTGTCCTTCCACCCAACAATAATGATAATAATAATGAAAAAAAAAAAAAAAAAAAAAACAATATTATTGTGTACGACGAGCGAGCATTCGTTTTTTCCTTCTCGATTTCCAACCCTTTATGTACATTCATGCAGTTATGCTTGTCATATAGTATATAAAGGAGGTACAATTATTATCGTACAAGACCGTTATTATATTATTACATGCGTATTGTTTATTCTCGTCGAGGCGGGTTAGGGGGAAAAAAAAAAAAAAAAAAAAAAAAAACGAAAAATTAGAACCGCCGGGGATAAAAATTATACGTAATATACGAGTTCTATACGCAAAGGGTGGACTATATACACGTCCGTAATATACGTAATGCAGGTTGAATTATTATTATTTTTGTCGCCGCGTCGTTTTATTACGGCAATTATTAATGATATTTTTCAAACGTCGTATTATATACTGCAACACACACCTACTTAACCTTATAACGGGTCGACGGGACCATCTCGTTAACCCTTTGCCACCGGTTTTTTTTCGGCTTTTTCTAATACATTTATTTTTCTTTCTTTATTACGCGTTTTTACCCCCGTAACAAGGCCGCGATATAATGCATCTCTATGTATATACACACACGCGCGCACACGCACACACGCACACACGCACACACACAGGTATATCATGAACGACTTACGGTCGTGCCGCAGAGACACGCGGAAACGATCAGGTGCGGCGCTCCGGTTCCGTTCACCGTGTTGTGTAACGTGCTCGGGTTTCAGGCCAATAACAATGCATATTATTATTATACGACGAGACTTATACATTACAATGCATTACCCGCGCCCGTTTATAGCCCGGAGCGGGACAGTTGGTCGGGTCCGATGCAGTTACATTGATCCCTCACGCTACGTAATATTATTATCTCGTCGTCGTCGTCGTCGTCGTCGTACGCCCAATTAAAATGCCACCGAAATTTACTACTATACGGGATTAGCATCGGTGCAGGTATATGAGAGTACCTACCCCCTTCATATTTACTTGCTACGTGCCGTTCGGTATAGGTAAGTCTGTACCTGTACACGCATGTATACGACAAGTCTTAAACGAACGGTTCGTCACCGTGAAACGGGGTGAACCGGTCGGTATGAAGACGTCGTCGCGTACACGCCGAACGTCGGGAATGCATCACAACAACGGCACGATAATATTTTGACGTGAAAACTACCCTACGCAAGAACTGTAACGTCGTTGGCCTTCACTCTACTTCGGAACCGACAGTGTTCAGCCGCGCGTTATGCATATTTTTAAAAACTATCGAGTGTTTTCTAATTAAAATGTATACGATCGAAAAAAAAACCGCGAAAATTACGCGGGTATTTAAAAAATATATATATATATCGTACATTTTCTGATAAAATTATAAAAAAAAAGAAAAAAGAAAAGAAAATCATTTCAATTCACTGTAGCTTATAATTATGTTTTATTAATTACGAATTACTATTATATATGTGACTTACAGGAGTATCTACGTGGTCTAAAGCACAGCGGCACGCCGCCATCGCGACAGACCTTGTCGCCAATGTTGACTGGCTTAGCTGCTTCTGTCGCTGCTTAGCGACAGAAGCGTAACGATGGCGACGTTTACCGTGGAATTAATATTTAAAACTACAATATTGGTGTATTGCAGTGGCGTATTTAGGTTTTTTTCTTGGGGGGGATATAATTTTTATCCAGTAATCACTAACTCAAGGGGGAATGCTGTCCCTTCAACATCTTATAAGTTTCCTTAAATTATAATTGCTTAAAACATCATACATATAAACTATATTGTTGATAAAACAACACTATTAACAGTATTTCGCTTAGAATTATTTTTCGTTGGAAATGATTAATCGTTGCGTACAGATATACATTAAATTTCCCTCTACCATCCCAATTTCTCACCTACAACACGTGCCGACCCACGTGCAAAGTATGTCCGTCATTTTTTTTTATCTATAGTTGTGCGTCATTTTCATTAGAAATACACTATTTGTATAGGTTAAGCTTTCACAATAGGTATTATGGCGAGGAAAAACAGAAAAAAAAAAAACCACTCGGCGACGACATTTCAGCGTTGATTAGTTGTTATTATTGTTGGGGGCTTGCAACACTAACGACGAATTAATCGTCTAGACGGGTTTACGGGGATGTTATGAGAGTTAAGGGCTGGTTTGGTAAACACAGTCGAAATCGTTTTAGATCACGGGTGTGATTTCAGAGTTAGTATTTATTTGTAGGTCGGAGTGTAACGCGTACAAATTGAGACGCAGGGAAGGTAGCACCCGTTAGTAAACGGAGTGTTAATGATGAAAAGGTTTAGGTTTTAAAGGTTTGATGGCTCTCCGGATTTGAATATCGCATGGTGCCATATAGACTTTTTAGGAATATTTTGTACATGTTCAATTTGTACTTCAGATTAATAAAATTATTGAGTTTCTGTTTATTTATTTACAAAAAAAAAAAAAAAACATAAAAAAAATAATATGTGTTCACGTAAAATAAATGCCTTAAAATCGGTTTTATGTAGATGAAAACCTATAAAATATACAATTTGTAGATAAACAACATTTTATAAGTGAACTCAGTGGATTTAAAAAATTTAATTATTTATTGAAAATTAGCCAATAAAAAAAAAATATATTATATTTTATAATATATTTTATTTATAATTATTTATAATAATTTATTTTTTTAGCATGCAATTCGAATGCACCGCGTGGATGTTGTCACAATACTCACAGTTGACTCTGAGCCCGATAACACATACACTATTTACACATGATATAGATTAGATCGATTTATATTTATTTATAATAAGTATAGAAATTACTATGTGTAAAATCAATTATCTCGACATACTTCGTCGATGATCGATAGATGACAACTAGGGGCTCTCAAACTCCATCTCAATAATATAGGTAAAAATAAATTTGGTGGATACGAGAACCGGACCTTTTTCGTTTGGGCAGAAACGATAATTGGCGAAAATGAAAATCAAGGTTTTTTGCGGAAACTACGACCGTCCGTTATGTATACAAATTATACTACAGATTTTTTTTCTATAAAACTTATTAAACCCGCTGAAGAAATGTTTCACAGGGTTACAAAAATAAGGACATTATACAATTTTATAATACGTAATGATTCGAAAATTTTTTCATATAAGTCATTTTTTGAAAAAATAAGTATTTCATAGCAAATTTGACTATATGGTATATTATCATGAAATTTGAATGAACCTTTTTTTTATGTTTTTTTTATTGTCTTAACGTTTTTACTGTTAGAAAGACGGAGACGGGATGAATATAAAAAAAATGTGTTATAAAGTACTACAATATAAGCGAACGCAGTTCTCCCACGACAAGATGATTGCACCCCCTGCGTAAAATTTTGAAGGAAAAGACAACTTAAGATTTTATTTCAAATTTATGAAAATTGTATTTGTTCAGTTGGTTATAATTAAAATTAGAAAAAAATAACATATAATTATTTCACTATTAGTTTTATTAATTTTTAAGCCGTATACGAGAATCCAAATACACATCCTAATACGCTTGTGTATTACTACGGCATTATATCGGGCGATAACATTTAAGATAATAACGGTGAGCCACTACTAATAGTCTTAAAAATGATATAAGTAGATACCTATGTATGTTATTATATTTTTGTAATTTTAAGACAGAGGACTTTTTCGTATTTTTGCACTCCTCTTTATAAGGATAAGCGCCCACGAACCGTCACTGAGCGAGTTATCATTAAAAGACACCGATATAATTTCAATAAAATGCCGTACAAAAAAGAGGTGTCTATTAATAGAGATACCTTTTCAATACATATGACTTTTCAGGATCCCCCCCCCCCAGAAAATTTTTGAAAATCCGCTACTGATGCTGCGGACCGAGTCACGGACGATAATAATTTTTCGGTCTTCCGGTTAAGAATCGTACCCACGCGTATTATCGACTCAACGGCGGCGGTTCGCGTGACACGTCACGTCACCGGTTCGGTTCACGTCATTATTGTCATACACGTGATATTTTATATATATGTATGTGTGTGTGTGTGTGTGTGTGTGTGTGTGTGTGTGGACGCGGTGCAGCTTCGGATCGCACCGGGAAATTACACGGTCGGTCGGTCTCTTTGATGAACGACGGATAATAGATTACGACGGACAATTACACATCAAGCACGCATGCCCCACGCACGCTGTATAATATATTTTCAACACTCGCACGCATACGTATTTATGCCACGACTCACGAGAACCGAAAATCTAATATTGTGCGACAAATTGAATTCCGTGTCAGACGGAAAAAAAAAATAAAAAAAAAAAAAAAACATTAAAAATTAAAAATTAGATTCATCATTTCCCGCAACAGTCGCTGCCGCCGCCGCCACCAGATTTGATCCGGGTATCCGCTACCTGCAGTATCATGCGGAAACCTGATGTCGCGGCCACGACCCGAAATCGTTTCCGGGCTAGGGGAAAAAAAAATGTTTTTAAATCGGGAGACGGCTTGCAGATTTTGTGCACGGACAAGATTGACGGAGAGATTGTATAATATGTGATTATAGTGTCGTATTAAGTTGACGTTATAGCTGAACTCTGGATTTTTAGTCTATGGAAAAAATTTGCAAAATATCGAAAAACTGTTGCCTTTTATTTACAGGATACCTTCACAGATAATTATCATAATCCGTGATTAAATTTTCTACATCTAAATATCTAAATTAATGAAGTGCTTTAACGTTTGAGCAGAACTATAATTTTCTCATTAATCGGCAAATTTCGTAAGTTTTCCTCGGTATACCAAATATTTTGTACTAGTACACTAAGTATACTAAGTATACCCAATGCCCGTGGCGTACATAGTGGACACCAGGGGGGCATCCACCCGCATTAGCCGTATTTTTAGTACCTATATAGTAAATAAAGATATATTTTACTTGAAAGTTCAGCCCCCCTCCCTATTGAAAAATCCTGGGTCAGCGACTGTCTAATGTAATTTTAACCATTGTCATTTGTTATTATTTTTTTTTTACATATTATAAACTATTAAACCAGATTATATAAATATTGTTTATTTTCTATTTATTACAGTTTTCACATACATTATAGGTAATATTATTAAATATACACACAAATAATAATAATGATGTACGATTTTCAAACGTTATCAGTTATTATAATGTTCTACACTATAATTTATCATATTATAATGGTTATTGAAAAAAAAAAAAAAAAAAAATAAACATGCGTTTTTCTACAATAGATCCTGCGACTATATTTAATTGATAATAGGTCATTTTATTGAATCAAACGAGTACATCACTGATACCTACGACTGCAAAATAAACATAATTTTTTTTTTTTTTTTCGTGCTAGATCGATATCTTCAACACCGGTAGCCGGTGTAGGTATAGGTATTTATATTTTCGTATTGAAATTACTAATATTCAACCGGATCACTAGCGCCAAAACGAAATATTATTTCTATGTTTTATACAAACACGCATCGCACGGCAACATCGTACGCCGATTTAATGGGTACCTATAGGCTACAGCCGGTACTATGTAGGCAGGTAATATTATAACAATACGATAGTTAAACATATTTTCAAGACATTCGTGTAAGTTATAAACAATAACATTGTATTATTGTGGTTTTGCCGCAAAACGTATCGTCATTACGAAATAAATAAATAATTAAAATTAAAAACGAAACGATTATTATAGGTATAGATACTAACACTATGCATTTATGATATACATTATTGTCTTTCAATAGTGGTGCTGCTGACTGCACATGAACTGCTGTTGCACGTCCACGTAGAACGCCGCGGACACCATGTTGCCGGTCAGGCCGCACGTGCACACGCCGTCCACGAGCAGGCCGCACGGGGACGGTGTCCGCGGCCGTGGTGCCTTGGGTTTCAGTATCTCTTCGATCGTGTACGGCGTGCGCAGCTTATTTTTATTCACGCCGTCCAACGGCGCGCACTGTCCGGTCGACGGCACGCCCGCGACGTTCATCGGTCCGTTACTGTTCCGATGCTGCTGCTGCTGCTGTTGCTGCTGCTGCTGCTGGTGGATCCGTTCGTAGTACAAGTCTGCGGAACAGACAATGGCACACTGATATTATATACATTTCATAAGTTGGACAAACGTTTGAAAATAAAGTTATTTAAACCATTGTTAAGGAAAAACGATTCTTAAAACACGTATATAAAAAAAAAGCCGTCCTAGGATAATGGAGACGGGTGCAGCCACTTCTGTAGGTGAGAAGTTGGGAAGGTAGTAGAGGAAAAATTGAATGTACATCTGTAAGCAACAATAAAACACGGCTCACAAAAAAATTCAGATTCTGAGCGGAGTTCTGTTAATAGTGTTACTTTGTCTATGTGAAATATTATGGTAAACTAATTGCATACGCATTAATCATTTTCGTTCGTAATATTTATTGGGAAAATCAAAAAATGACTTCCCTAAATTAATCCCCAGTCCGATTTCCTATCAGAAAAAGTGCTATCATTAAAAATCGGAGGAAAATTGCTGGTAGAAAAGTTGTCCACAGAATAAAAAAAATAAACATTATTGTAAAGCCATAAGCTTCTTCACACCACTTAGAATCTAAAAGATACATCAATACACTTCGTACGGTGGGTGAGCCACTTGTTTTAAGTGAGAAATTCGGACGATAGCATAGGTATAGAGGAAAATTGAAAGTATATCTGTACGCAACGATTAATCTTTGCTAACGAAAAACGGTTCTGAGCGGAGTTCGATTATATATGTTTTAAATGGCCGTAATATTTACGATTTTAAAATGAATTTAAATAATACATTTTGAAAATTTTCCCGTTTTTTCCCATTTATTATGAAAAAACCTGAGAAAACGACCTCGATAATGTACCACTCCAGTCAGATTTTCTTTCAGAAAAAGTGCTACATTTTGAAAATCGAAATAATATTTCTGATAAAAAAGTTGTCTACAGTAAAAACAGGACGTAATATTTACTAATACATTTCTTAAATTTTCCCTTATTTCCTGGTTTTTCTTAATTACTGAAAAAATCAAAAAATGATCTCTTTAAAGTACCACCCCAGTCAGATATCCCTTCAGAAAAAGTGCTTTACTTGTGTAGTGTTGTCTACAGAAAAATAAATACATAAACATCATCACTGTAAGACCAATACATTCCTCGCTTCGCTTAGTATCTAATAACTGTACATTACCATATATTTACCAGTAAATTCAACTTATAATAAAACTCGTATTTAATTTTCAAGCGTTTCTGTTCGGTCAAACAGTTTTATCTACATGTTAAGACAAATAAAAACTAAAAAAAACTTGAAAATGTTTAATGCCTATTAATAGGTAACTCAAAGATTGCCACGTCTAAAAAAGGCTAGTACAGTATAGAAGTATTCTGTGAAAATTCCAGGTATCTATGGTTATTTTTAACCAAAAAAAAAATTACATAGAAAATCAAAAGGTGACTTGTATATACATCAATTAGACAAAATTTTCTGTTAGAAAAAATGCTTTACTTAAACTTCAGCGCAAGATTTCTAGTAAAGAAAAAAAATCGAACCGAATTAAAATAATGAAATCGTTAATACCTTATAAAATATTTATCCGGTTTTTCTATACACTTTTTTTCTGGTTTTTCCGAATTATTATGAAAACTGTTTTGAAAATCAATAAATTTCGATTCACCAATTAGATCCTAAATCCAACTGTCCAAGTTCTATGGTTGACAATTTGTTTACAGACAAAATGTTTGTTCTATTTGTTTACGAAGAGGTGTTATATTACTGTACTACATAATACAGTATCATCATACTATTAATTAAATGTAGGTAGATAATATAATATTTACCTAAGGGATGTATCCACGGGACGTTGCGTATTGGAGGAGGTACTATGACAGATCCGGTAATTCGATTTGATATATCTTGCTTGCATCTGGTACTTTTCTTTGTGAAATTACCATTGGTAGTCTGAAATAAAACCATTGATAATTAATACAAATAAATACAAAAAATTATCTTTTCAAGTTTCATCTATATAGTCATATGGCTAAAACGTAAATGACTTTTCAATTTACAAAATCAAAAACTTAACGGTCAATTGAATAATATTTCCGGGAAGTATAACGTATGTACCTAAGATGTATTAGGTTATAATAACTACTGCGACAGTGCCTATTTTTTCTAATATTTCGTATAGAAACTTTTTAAAAATATTCATATTTATAAGATCAGCAACCCCTAAAATCGCATAATTTCCCTCCTCTTCTTCGTTTTTATAGTTATAGAACTACAGAAATATTGTTAGCTAGTATATTGAAATCATTATAAATTATTTTTATACTCACTTTATTATAAAGTATACAGACGGAAGTTTAATAGTTTATTATTTTTGTATTACCAATAAAAATTGTGTTAATAGTGTTGTTTTGAGTATATTTATTTTTTAGATGATTTCTACATATACTTTGGGGTGGGTTGATGAGTTTTAGAAATGGGTGCACGAATCCAAGAATGGGTGTGTATTGTATGACCCGTCGCGCATCGTGAGAAAATAGTTGATATTATGATTGTATTATATGTATTTGCAGTGCTCGAATTTGAAAGGGAACGAAGTTCCTATACTAAACTTTGTTCTTTAAGCGTACTCTTAATATTTATTTATATTAAGACTATTGAAAATATCATAACAATTTTCAAAAACAATTCATTCATAGTACTTAATACTGAATAATTATCATGTCTGTATTGTACTTTTTCCTTATGCAATAATGTATAAGCAATTTAACCAAAATTTAAATACATATTAGCGTTTACAAGTATTTTATGATAATTTTACGAAACATTTTATAAAAAAATATAATAAATAAGTACAAAAATAAATATAAATATATTATCGATTGTTAGTTTTTTTTTGTAAATTATTAATTCTTATTGAATGATTTTTGAAAAATGGTATACTGTAGTCAATAGGTGATGGTAAAGATTATTTGTATTGGTGGTGGTAATTTTCATTATTATTCACACAATTTCTTGAGTGTATAAAAACTATATTACAAAAGTCGAATAAGCATGATTTTATTTTTGTGTTGCGCATACAACTGTAGGAACTGAATTCTACGACGTTTTCAAACGATAATATAGATACACTGCGATATTACAATAATAATTATTCACTTTATTTTTGTGCAATCCGGCGCCGCCGATGGAACCCGGTCGTATGGAGCCAGTTTCGTAAAATCTGGTCAGAATTTTCGACACGCATCCGTGTGAAACCAAAAGCTGTCGAGATATGTCACAGGGCCGAACACCCAAAAGGGCTAGCTGTACTATACGTCTTCTGACGTAGTCAGGCAACGGGCGGCCGTTGACAAACACACCGCCCAATTGGTTAACACCGGCTTGACCTGTAAACACGTGTAAGAATCGAGATTACGTCCACGAGTTATATAATAATAATAATAATAATAATAATAATAATAATAAATTTGTTGAGGTTGGAAACAAATAGCATATCTGTTGCATTAAGTCTAAAAGCCAAAGTGGGGAGATCCAATTGAACGCGAATAGGTTTGTAAATGTGGGACTCCAGTGCAAATATTAATTTAAATGTAGCGTAATTTAGGAAACGGTTTTGGAATCTTTCTATAGCCTCACATTATTGTGTGTTCGAATTAAGTGGTCATTAATGAACCACTCTACACTGCTCACAATAGTTTTTCTCACTGTCCCTCGACTGTACGTTTCTTGAAGGAGCACGGGACGCTAGTTTGGGGGTTTACGCGTAGTAAATACCTATTTATATGTTAACTACATTACCTTATTATAAAACCAATTATTAATTATTAATTGTAAACGGATTTTAAATTACATCTACTAGAAAAAAGACACAAAATTTAAAAAAAAAATGTTCATAGAAAAGCGAAAGTGTTTTGATCGCCGTGGATTGTTGTATAAATAACTTCGCGATGTTTGAGAAAAAAACCACGACTTCGTTCGATATCTTCGAAACGGGTAAAATTTTGATAAAAAATCGTATACGAGATGTTAAATTCATTCTACAGCAATCGAAAAATAAATGTATATACTCGCCCGATACAAAATATCCTCATCCCCGTCACGACATGGCATGACGAGACTATAATATTTTGCGGGCGAGATGTTCGTGTGTGAAAAAAAAAATAAAAATAAAATAACGACAATTACGACACTTATATCGTCGTCATTATATTCCCGAACCGATATATTATACGTATAATACTGCGGACAGCAAATCATGAAAAAAAAAAAAAAATAAAAAAATAAACGAATATTATGTTTCGATATAAAATTGTAGCGTGCACCCAGAGCGGCGTAGTGCAGTGTAATAATAATAATATTTTACAGGTATAATTATAATGTATATATAGGTGTAACTACGCGTATCAGTCGGGTGGATCGGAAGACCCCCTGGTGCTACGAGGCGGATCCGAAAACGACGACGACGCGTCTCTGTAATTTCGTAAAAACTACCGCCCATTAACACCTATGCAGACCGACAATAAGCGACAGATGTACCGACTCCCGATCCCGGCTCCCGGTATTTATCATATCAATTCGCCGCCTCGAGATGTGTGTACAATTCGTATGCGCGTATACGTTCGTATACAAACGATTACGGAACTGCACTGTACACGCGCGTAATTGATTTTTATGCACACGACCGCAACAGGACGAAAATAATAAGATTACCGCACCTATCGGGATGGACCGCGCAACGGCATATATTTATATTATAATCGACCGGTTTTATCTCGTATAATAGTAATATAGCGATGACGGGCTATAGGCTCCTATACGCTATAGAATTATAATTATACCGTAATTGCGTACGTTTATTATTTATATATGTACATGTAAACTATGTATATTTTTTATTAAACCGCGGCGATACCTTCATTGCAATTATTTAGATGCACGTGCCTTGTTTATTGTATATTTACGAGTATATGTGATGTACACATAATATACCTACTTTGTGTTTATTGTAAATTGTATAATATAATATAATATTTACAAGCTACAACATACAACCCTACGCAATACGCAATTATATTAAAAGGCACGCGGACTGGTGGACTTCTGTAATTGGTCGACTGTAAAACGATAATACGAATAGTACCAATATACACGATGGGCAGGGACAAATAAATTTTTTATAGTTTTAGTATAGGTATTCGGCCATTCCGCGTAGCTTCGATTTTAATATAATTGATATATATATATATATATATATATTATAATAGTGAAATGATCATAATAAAATTGATTACGCGTTTTAGGTTATAAACTTTATTATATCAACTGACAAGCAATAGCTGTGCGAAAATTACTATAGATAGGCATAATACTAAAGTAAAAACAAAATTAAAAAGTCGCCGGGTGGACAAGTTTAGAAGGTATTTACCTGGTAATTTAGTTTAAATAATATACACTGAAAACAGTGATAAAATATTGCAATCAAAAATATTATTGTGAGTGGAAGAGGTAAACTGTTGGTAAGGTTTACAGTATTTTAATCGTGTTATAGATACTGAAGGATCTATTGAATTTACTATATATGATATGTTTTTTTTTTTTTGTGTCTGTGAGTAGCTATTCTACCAAAAACATTGATTCAATCAAAAAAATGACAAGAGACCTTTTCTATTAAATTTTAGATTTTGTTGATGAAATGTAGATCATTTTTTGATTGTTTAAGGGGTTTTCAAAATAATTGGTAAAAACAGGAAACATATGGGAGAGAAGGGTAATTATTTACGGCGCGTAAATATTATTTTACGCTGCGTTACCGATTTCACTATTTTAAATTTATACAAATTATTTTTTCTATTAGAAACATTGCTCCAATATAAAAACGACAAGAAACCTTGTTGTTAAATTTGGGATCCGATTGTTAAGCAAGAGTGTCGTTTTTTAATTTTCAGTGGTGTGGTTTTCTTAATAATTGAGCAAAACCGGGAAAAAACTTAGAAAGAATTGGAAAGTTTACGAAAATATTGGTTTTATTATTTACAGTTTTGTTTTTTGTTGTAATTAATTTATAAATATTCGTAGAATTTAGACAGCAAACGTATATTTGCCTTTTTTTAAACGTGGTGAAATTTTAAAAACATTCTCAAAATATTTTTAGGCTATTTATAGGTATTTTACATTTTCTAGTTTTTTTTTTACGTACTTAGTTTTTCTTTGATTAATATTTACTATGTGGAATGTGGATATAATTGTTTGATGAAACAGAAATACTTGAACATTTAACACAAAGTTCATTATAAGTTATACTTAGTGGTAAAAATAAAGTTGAGTGTAATGTAACATTATAGTAGTTTTTATTTTCGTTTTAAGATCATATTATCACGAATCATGGAATTTCAAAACATGTATAACTGAACTTCGTTCTGAATCGTATTTCGTTTGCAATGGCTTGTAGATATAAAATAAATAACTGTAAGTATCCTACCTTCCCTACTTCCTCCAACAACAATGGCTCACCAATCAGCAGTATCAACTTTTTCCCCTTGTAGTCAAGGCGATCCGGAAATTAATAAAAATAAAACAGACGTACCGTCATTTATTTTTAGTTTTTATAACTTTTTAGAAAAACTATCGAGAATCTATTGAAGTAAATAGAGTACCATCAGTCCGAAAATTTGTATCTTTTGATCTATGGCAAGAAAAGTTTAAAGGTTATTAATCGAATAAATATTTTCCGAGAAAAAAACATCTTCGTAAACAAATGTATACAAATGCCCTCGTGCTTTGCCCGTGTAGTAAACGAAAAACAAATTAAAACCTATATTTCATTGATATTGATGTTATTAATTACCATAACAATGTTTTTTCCCGTGTAAATAATAGATACCAGAAATGAACAAAACAAAAAAAAAATGCAATTATCGTATTTTAAGAACAAATTTCCTGCGAGTTTCACTTTAGGGGTTGAATTTCTCATTCAAATTAATCCTGGAATTAAAAAGAACAAACTGAGAAGTTTTCAATGAAATCGGTCGAGTAGTTTTTGAATCTATAAAAACACGACCATACGAGTATTATATTGTATTATATATACACATATAAATACAGATATAGCAAAAAAAGCTACACCATACGAATTTAAAATTTATTATAATAGACTATTGATATCACTTACCCGTATGCGGCATTATAGTGTTAACACGTATGCGAGATGTATTTGTGTTTTGATTATACTTTAACAATTTTTCTTTTCTTGTTTTAAATAATGAACTGATGATGATTTTAAAAGTTCTTCATTTTATAATACTTTTCTTATTATAGTAATTCATCTAGAAAAAAAAAATTAATTAATTATACGCGATGAATCTTTTGTTCACATTTTATTTTGTAATTTGGGTATCCGCTATGAATAGCGGACATTAGCCGGACATAAGTTTGGATGGTATACGAAGTAAGGTAATTTTTAGTTCATATAGCAAATAGCAATGATTACTTGTTATTACAGTCAAAATATTGTTCTGAGCGGAACCATGCAGTAATCTGGTTAGGTTAGGTTTTACAACATTATAATCAAGATCATATTAAACTTTTTCTCTTATTGAAGCCATGAAATCAACAGAAATAAAATTGATGTTTTGTTATCAGCTTTTGTAGTTATTAAGAAAAACTGTCGGTAATTTAGCGACATTTTTCAATATAAAATATCACCGGCCAAAAAATTCACTTCTTTTAAAGTAAAATTACTAAGAAACTAAAAGGATTTTTACTAATCAGAAAAAAACCACATCCTAGTAAAACTATAATGGTTTCTTCCGGTGGCGTAGAGTGTTGGGGAGAGGGGTGTAACAACTCCTGTTTGGTCGTGTTTATTTATTAGATATATATAATAAAATGTTGAAAAACAAATTATTTTACATTATGGCCATACATAACTATATGTACATTAATTTCTTAACAATGTTCGTATTTTATAAAAATAATTATGAAGTCAAAGATTGATTATTGATATCACGAAATAACTGCAATATTGTTTTATAGTTATTTGTTAATTACGGTTATTGTCTATTGATATAATTGACAATAACTAAATTACCATTTTCCCATCGAAATAGATAAGAATATATTGTTATCTATTTCGGTGCATTTCCCTAAGCCTGTTTAAGATATTAAATAACGGTATTGATATACTGTTGCATTTTTTCATAACAACCCCCATCGAAAATGTCTGGCTACGTGGTCTGGTCTTTGCCATAATACTCCGAAATAAAACTATATAATAAAATGATTTAAAATACTCGTAAAGTTATTACTATATAAATATTAAGTACGTGCATAATATTATTATAATATTTAATCGATAGTTATTTTGTGCGAACGAAAATAATATTTTTAAAGTCTCTCCCGCGCATTACGGAAGACATTCGCGCCAACAAGATGCGCTATTGTTTTTTAATACATTTTGTATATTATGAGTTCAACCGTTGTGCAAAACAAACATTTGGGTCATATGCGGCGACGGTGGCGCCGTTAAGTGTGCGTGAATAACACGCGAACGCGTCCGCGGCGGCCACGGTCCGGTTGACCCGCGGCCAAATCCCCGAGTGTGCGCGTGCACGCAGTGCGCCCCGGACCGTATCATTGGCGCCCGTGTACGGAGGCGGCGGCGGCGACGGCGACGGCGCACACGTCTCCCAAGAGGCGCCTTTATCATCGCGGGACTCGTCGACTTTTCGAGATGGCCGCACACGAAAATAATAATAATACTGCGGCACATTGTTGTTATATTATTATTATTGGTATTACCACCGTAATCCCGTGTTAAACCCGACGGCATGCGTGTGCGTCACCGCGCGCCCCTGCAGTCGTTCGCACGGATGAATTGTTTACAATAATAAAACGCCGTCCCGTGTCCCGCAAAAGGATCCGTAGCGCGTGTCCATGCTTATCGTCGTTACCCGTTCACACGTCATATAATATACGTGCGGTATCGTCGCCGTTCTATTTAATCAGTTTTCCCCGCGACGGACACGGCATGTCAAAGCATCACGTTTGGTCCTGCGGGACTCTTCTTCCCATTTGTCCCGTCAAACTTCTCGCACTACCATCCCCACGCATTACACCCCCCCCCCACCTATATCCGACTAAAATTATTACAACAGAATGAAAAGTATACTTATGTTGACTTACAAGATATTTGTATCGAAAATATTATTATTATTATTATTATTATAACTATGTACTAACCCATTATTCCCCCGTACAGTTTTATATCCAGTACCTATATATAAAACTAAAAAAACGTGACTAAATATTAGTTATCCGTGTGTAATACCGAAAAGCTAAAGAATGTAAACCTGGAAGGCAAAACAATCATACAGAAAGTAACAGAAGCGAGAAGGGATAAGAATTATCGGAGATAATGCAAAAACATTATGATAAGAGATTTGTATATATATATATATATGCATTAGTTGTAAAATCATGAAAAATTAGTGTTGTATAGCAGATGGCCGTTGATTGAGAAATTAAAACGTAACCAGGAAAACAAATTCTATTATAAATGTTAACTAAATATTATACAGTGTCCCACGATGATTTGCCACTATCAAAATTTCATTCAAGTAATCAATTTTATTAGGTAGGATCAATCAATCAATAATAGTCATTTATGTTGATAAACCATATTTTTATGATTGAAAGGACAATTATTCAAACTATCGAAAAATCGTAAAAAATAAGAAACGTTACTTCAGCAAAGGTTTCAACCGCCTAAAATTTTCTAAAAATCTATTTTACAAAATGGCTATTTTAAATTCTTTTAAAAAAATTATATTAAAATTTTTAATTTTAATTCCCCTTCCCCCTAAAGAAAATGTTCATTTTAAACTGTATCGCAGAAACATATTATGTAATTATTTAAAAAAAATACATAACAAAAGTTATTTCAAGTGGCAGGTCATCGAGGCACACCTATATATACAATATTTTTCCGTACATTTTTCCGAAAAGTATCAAATACTTAAAAAGTTTGTTAAACCGTTATTATTGTTATTGTTATCTTTTGTTATTTTAAAGAATGATTAATACTTTGATTCCGTTACAGTAATATTAATAAAGTTTTCTCGCCGCAGTATTTGGAATTAATTCATTCATTAAAAATAAAAGATTTTAGAAATTATTTCTAGAAACTATTGACAGGGACACATGCCTCCCTATCGATAGACTACAATTTTCACTTATATATTTTATATTAATTTAATATATAATTTACAGTTAATTTACTGAAAATATAAATAATAGAATAATATAAACAATTTCTGAATCCGTCGCTGTTATTATGTATGGGAACCATAAAATATAAAATTAAAATTAAACTTAAAAGTATAAAGATATCTTTATAAATACAAACAAATTACTAATATATTATATTAGGCATATAAGACAATAGTTTTTATAAATCGAACATTGTGATTTATAAATTTAGGTACATAAACAAAATGCACAATAAGACATACATATAATTTCTTTATAAGTACTTAAAATTGATTTGATTTCTTGTCAATATTTTTATAAATTTGTTTAGTTTTTGGAAATTACGAATTACATTTTTTTAAGCCATGCAATATTATATATTCATAATAATACCATTATTTTATTTTAATTATACGGGCTGGGCCTTTTTGAACATACAACATTAAACATTTGAGATAACAGAAGTCAATACAAAAAATTAATTCATAAAATTATAATAGCTTATAAGTTATAATAAGATGTAAGAAATCACACATAATTAGGTCAATAAGTCATTAAAGGCAGAATCCGCATTGGCAGTTGACATTAAATGTCTTAGAGGCTCATTAGCCATGTAATTGGTTGTGGCCATAAGCTTACTTAGACCTGAATTTCGGGGGGTGACTATAATATTGTTGGGCCCTAATAAGACATGTACATATTTTAATACATTTTAATGTACGAATAAACATAAATTACAATGTTTTATTTAATATTCTCAGAGATCAATTATGAATGTTGTATAATAACTTGTGCTTATATTGTTTGAATTATTAAATTAATTAATAACGTTATCTACTTCAACATTAGAGGCAATTTCTTGTTCTGTGAAAAGTAAAATTAATAATTCAAAACGGTCTTGGGCCTTGGTACTTCTTAATATTTACTTTTCACAATATTTAATTTCAAAAATATCTGTTCGCACGAACAACTATAGTAATGGGTACAATGCTAAAAATTTGTAGTATTTTAAAAAACAGCTAATATATTATATCTACTGCGAGTCTTTTAATCTATACAGCCAAAAAAACACAGATTCATTAGTAGTTTCTTTAGGAATATATTATTGCCTGTTGAGTTCTTGAAAATTTTGATTTCAGCAATCAAAGTGCCTGATGAAATTTTTGTAAACTTTTCTAAAATGATAGTTATTACATTAAAATTACATTTTTATTCTATAGTAACATCAGTTAAATACGGACCAATATATATATTTTAGAAGACTTAAATTTTAGGGCTCCAATTATAAGTCGGGGGGTGACCAGGTACACCCGGAACCCCCCGTGCACACGCTTTTAGTGGTGGCGTGCGAGACATAGAAGATGGCAGTAGAGCGAGATGAATGAGAAGGAACTTTGAAACAGATTAGAAATAGAAAGGTAGGTAATTATAATACGATTTATCGTTTCATGTTTGTAATTATTTTAATTTTATATTTTATGAATGTATCCAGGAGCGGATACAAATGATACCTTCCCGTCTCTCTTAGAACTTGCATGTACTTTAAAAATAAGACTTATACTAAATTATAAATAAATTATAACTTATATTAAACATCTATTTTTAACGCATATGAAAAGTGAATGGTTTTTTGGACTCCCTTTTTTTAATTCTTAGATCCACCGCTGTAAATACCTATTTAGGACATAGGTAGCTTGGTTAATTTTTATGTATGTACATAATTAATAATTATTTCTATTTTATAAATAAATAAATAATAATTTCAATATTAATAGACGTATATACATTTCGATTTGGATAAATATTTTTTTCATATAGAGTGGGAAAAAAATCAACTTTAAACCGTACAGGAAGTAATAATAAATGTATTCTACAAATATAACAATCATTAGGTTTATAATATTATATTATTAGAATGTTGGTCATTTATACTTATTCAAATTTCGACGAGTAATTATAATTTTCAAAACTATATCTATGTATAATAAATATAATCGATCTATAGCTTTTATTATTATGAGACATTATAAATAATTATATTATTCAAGTATATTACTTCATTTACTATTAATAATGATTTGTAAATGTATGAATAATATTTTTGATGCGCGTATCGTAAACAGCCGCATAGGCACAAACTGTATATTATGGTAAATATATGATTTATAGCTATAGAAATAAATAATGCGAAAAGTTCACTTACTCGGTTAAGTCGTACAGAATGGATTCGCAGCAGTATTACTTCTGTACTTTAGTACATAATCTTCGTGCGTAGAGCAGCTAAGTGAGCGCGAACCGTAAAGGACAACAGCTGCCTGAATACGTTCGCACGATGATTTCGATGGTTACACGGATACGGTGTAGCGCCAACCCAAACCCCGCCCATCGGAAGAGGGGCACACGAGCGGCCAATCCGTGTCCGAACACTTGGCACGCGTCACCTTGACGACCGCTGAACAATTTCTAGCAACCCTTAACGGAATAAACTATATCGGTTCTGGTGTTTTTATTGCGATGATCACCGTTTACTTCGCTGCAGTAAATACAAAGTACCCACCTACCACAATTAATTAACCAAACATTTTTATAATTTTATCTTTGCGCGATATATAAGTTATACACAAGAGAGAATACGAGAAATTGTATAAAATTATAACATTTAACCTCCGAAAATACACAATCCGAATAAAACTATACATTTTCAATCAAAAATCGCACTCAAATTATTGAACAATAATGTATTTTATGCGTGTAGATAATCTTAATGTTTAAAATATATAAGTTATTATTATTAACTATTCTGTCTATGTATTCCTAAAATAATTCTAATATGCAGAAATACTGGTAAAGTAATAAAATCAAACCGAATATTATATTAAGTATACCTACTGGCTATATAATTATAAGGACTTTATGCGTAATAATTACTTAATCACCTTCTACAATTGTGTAAAAATACGATATAATATATAGAACGTAATTAAAGAATCTGCATCTGATCACAAATTGATATAGCTGATAGCTCAGTAAAAGTTAATCGTAAATTCACAAGTAAACAACCTATATACTATGTGAAAGATATAAGATATAATAATATAGCTCTCGATTATCGAAATTTGCTTTATAGAAAATCAAAGAAACAAGCTGCTCCAAAACTGTATACTTCCGTTATTTTTTGTCACCTTAATATTTTACGGTGAAATCACGACCTAATTTTGGTTTTCAAATAGAGTTTGACACCAAATCGTGTACCTAAGAAAATGAAGTCTAAACAATTCTAACAACTTTCAAACAACGTCTAACAAGTCTGAAATAAAGTTGTTATAGTGATGTTTTGTACAAGTAGTTATATGTTATAAATGGATAAAATTGTTAGATCAAACAGAAATGCTTAAAAAAATGTATCAGGTGGTTCAATATAAGTCATACTTTGTGGTCGAAAAAAGTTGAATATAATGTAGAATTGTTTTTATAAGAATTCTAATATCAAATTTTGATGAAAATCGTAAATATTTCGGCTTTTTAAAACATGTATAACCAAATTCCGCTTAGAAGCGTTTTTCGTTTGCAATGATTAATCGTACGGATATACATATAATTTTCCTCTATATCCTACCTTCCGAACTTCTCACCTATAACAGTGGCCTATCCATCGTAGAAGTATGCCCTTTTCTTTTTTTTTATCGATTCATGGATCCAGAAAAACAAAATATTGGATCCGTTATCGGTTTGATATCATTAATATACAGCATATCGAAATATTGGATATCAGTAATAAGTGATATCGACCCAGCTCTAAATATTAAGCACTACACTATTACAAAAAAATACAAACTATTATAAAAAGAGTTGATACTGATGATTGGTACGCCACTGTTGTATGTAGGCATACGTTGTACGTTGGAAGGTTGGATACACAAAGTTATTTAATTTTTATATCTGTAAAGTGAATAACGATAAATCCATTGTTAACGAAATAAGATTCTGACCGAAGTTTGGTTAAATATATACGTTTTGAAATGCCGTGAATAAGTATACCTCTATACGATGTTTGTTAAAATGCTCGTAAAAAAAATACAACTGATATTATATTTATTTTTTATGTTAAGAATCTAATGCAAAAAAAAAACCAACATTAAAATTAGAGAAGTGTACAATATATGGGGTTAAATAGTGATGTACCGATGTCCAGTCGGTCACGAATGTAGATCGTTCAGTATATTATATCTCATGATCGTCATTTTACCCCTCATTATTATATTACAAGATAACCATCTGTTACACAGTCTAATTTTTCCCTAGCAATAAACTATATACCTATATTTTAATAACTACCTACCTTACAATTTTGTTCCCTCCAGTCCAAGCCCTCAACCGCCATTTTTTATTTATCTATTATTACTTTTTTTTTTTTAGTAACTGCCACAGTTTTTTCCCACTTTTCCCAAAACATAATAAAAAAAATAATAACACAAAAAACAATAATATATATAATATTTATTATGTACGGGGTCTTTTGTACCAAAGGATGTCATACAGTGATAATTATCACTCGTCCACTGCAGTATTATTATATTTGTTTCACTATATATATAATCATATTAGAAAAAAAAAAGTGCGATCCCCTTCTTTTGATGATAGTGCGACTGGCACGTGCTATTTTCCGTGGTGTCCTTGCTACACGCGTATGTTATTATATACTATGAAAGATGAAACTTCAGATAAGTACAACTATTATAATACCACATGTTTATAGTAAAAAAAATAAAACGAATATCTCGTATAATCTTTTACGTGTTTCTATAATCTATATGAGTGGTTAGAAATTTCATATTTTTTCCCCTATAATATTTTATAATTTTACCAGTGCATTTAAAAAATTATAAATTTTTTTGTACGGGTACTTGGTACATTATAAAAAGTTTTATCAGTTATAAAATCAAATACCTATATTATAGTTTTCAGACTTTTTAAAATATTAAATGTTAAGATTATACTATTAAAGAAACCATGCATTAAGCAGTAACAATCACATATCAGGTGCAAAATATTAATTATAATAATCATTATTGATAATTTAAGGAGGTTTATTTTTTGATTTGTCCAGGGATTTTCATAATAAATGGGAAAAATGTAGAAAAAACGAGAAAATGTACGAAATGTATTATTTTCAAATCATAAACATTACGGCCTTTTAAAACATGTATAACCGAACTCTGCTCGGAATCGTTTTTCGTTAGCAGATTAATCGTTGCGTACTGATACACATTCAAAACCCCTATATATTCTACTTTCCCAACTTCTCACATACAACAGTGACCCACCCATCGTGCGAAGTATGTTCGTATCTTTTTTTTTCCTCCGGAGCAGGAATGTCATACGAATTCCGGAATCGGACATACCAATTCATACAAATTTTATCTCGATAACCACACATATACCTAAACATGGCTACCTGTACAGTAATGTTAATTGTACACTCTAATTTAAAGATACTTATGCTCAGACATGCGTAAAACTCAAGACCATACAAATCTAAATTGTATTTATAATGTGTAATTGAAAACCAAAACCTATGCCTCTTGACCGAGTTCGCCTTATTCCATAACTCGATTTTTATCTTTTCTTCTTACATATACCGCGGAACTAATTCGTTTACATCACAGCGGTGCTTTGAAAAAATACGTTAGCGCACGAGTCAAAGTGAAATACTTTTTTTTTAGATGTTATCTAGACACTAAAATGATAAACTATAGAACATTTAGTGGTTATTAGAAGCTATGAGCATAAAGAGCATATACTTACCGCACCTATAAATTAATCCTATCTACCGATGTGGATAATACTATATTTAATTTTAGTACTATATAGTTAAATACAATATTCGATTGAAGGGCTGAACTATATAATTATATACATTTATCATACCATTGTAATTTGTTATAGACGTTTAGCGAGATGATGTTGTTTATTAAAGTATATTATGAATGACTGATAAAATAGGACACTAGAAAATAATTTAGGTACGTGGTTTAATAAAGATTTTTTTTTTATACCTAAAGCAACTTGTTGATTATTAAATCGCATGTGCAATATCAGATACTATTACTATTTATTTTTTCACGTACTTTTATAGTATTATTTTTGATTAGTTTATTTTATATATTATGACTAAGTTAAATATATTTTTTAAAAGCCGGTCACACTTCGCAATGGTTAGACCATATTCTGTATGTAAAATGAAAACGATAAATCATTGCAAACGAAAAAGGATCCTTAGTGGAGAGGTAATAGTAGTGGTTTTTTTTTCCTTTTGACGTAGTTATAACTCAGAAATCAACGAAAAAAAGGACTTAAAAGGAGTGAAGTGTTGAAATTTCGATGGATGTTTTAAATAAAGTACCATCAGGCAAAAAAACTGTGAAACTATAATAATTGCATTTTTATTTATACAAAAATAAGACTGATCATGGTGAAAGGCTCAACAGAAAATATACCTCTAAATATAGCCATGATAATTGATTTAAATACGTTTCCAAATATAACAACGACAACTAATATGTAAAATTAAATGTATTAGCAAAACTGTAATTTCTCTATTTAAATTTTAGTTAGAGATATATAATAATTCAATACACATAGACGCGAGGTTAAATATAACTTTTAATTGTTATTTATAAAAATATTATTCTTTGATGATAATTGATTCCAAAACCGTTGTAACGTGGAGTTTTATGTTTTTAATAAAAACATAAATGTATTTCATTCCTAATATCGCTTACACGAAATTTACTTTTAATTAATGAATTATTTAAGATACCCAATGCTGGATTTCCAAATTTTCTCCGATTTTTTAAAAATTTAACGACCACCTTCGTGACAATACTTTTCTATTAATCTTCAGCCTAATTCACATTTAAGAGGAAGGGATATGATTACTCTTAGGTAAGAAAAAAACGCTACGGGAGTAGGAATAACTCATTATCAATTTAATATTTTGATACTATAGGTATTTATTTTTTAATTGATAAACAATAACATTCCACAACATGCATTGAGTTCTGATTTTTTTTATTTAATTTAAAATAGGAGTATACAAAAGTCGGTAAACGCAGGACATATAGAGGTGTCCATTGTATCCTCGTATCCACTGTCCTCAGTCTCCCCTATATGGCTTGAAATGCTGTAATTTTATCATGCAATATTTAAAGACTACTGCATTAGGCTTAATTTTTTTTTTATCATCAAATACAATTGTACAAATTATAATGAACCTCGGGTCAAAAATGTATAATATTAGAATGTTATTAGAAATAATAATGTA